TGCAATTTCCTAAATTTTAGGTAATTATTACTGAAGGATTTCTATTCTTTAGTAGCATTCAACATTTGCCGTGAATTATAAGGGGAAATTAGCATAGTTTAAAGATAATAGAAGGCCGTGGTTGCCTTCTTTTCATCACCGCTGACGTAACAATCAGTTATCCAACATTTTTAAACTTATCTCAAAATATTGTTACCAAATTAAATTTTTAACCGGGGAAGTAACTTTTGTTCAACACGTTTTACAATGGGGACATTTTTTCATTGTTATAAGTAATATTATCTCTTCCCCAGTAATTGCCATAACAAAAAATACCATATCCATTGCATTTGAAGTTCGTGTATGACGAAATATTTCGTAATATCCAGTTAACAGGTTCACACTTCTTAAGACACCATATTAAAACAACTAAAAAAAATGGTACTTTCTATTATTGGGTAGTAAAAGGTCTTGTTCATTGAGTAACCAGGTGATTAATCCCCTGATAAAGGTGGTTAATCCCCGTCTTATCTGAACGCGTATTTGTTTTTATTCTGAAATATTATGTTTCAAGAATTGTTAATACATATTCACATGAGTTTCACAGCCGATTTTGTTATAAATTATGGTAGTGTAATATGAACATGTGCCATATCAAGGAGGAAACACTGACAATCGCCAATAGCTCATAAGTGTAAATCTAGAACGACAGGTATAACCAATCGAAAACACGTCAATTTTCGATTCTCCATTTAATTTGAAGCGTTTGCACTGAAGCACATCGTTAAAGAAGTTAGTGCGCTACTAGGTTTCCCGTGTTTTGTAGTCTTACACACCTTTTATTCTTTTGCAGTATTTTCCATCAGTTTCATTACTTTAAACATCGCCTTAATGCTTTTGGCGAAATTCATACCCTTAAACAAGCCAAGACTATAATTTTCTCAACTGGATGAATTTCCTTAAAGCCTTCTACGAAAAAGTTCTGTCAAAAACGAAAAAAAAAAAATCTTGAAATTTAATTATTTATTTCTAAACTCTATGATTATCGTTTTGAAATACTTGAAAAGAGTAATAAACTCATTGTTGAACGTCACAAGTATACCGTTTAATAATTCATTTTCTGTTAAATTTAATTAAAAACTATACTTTATAGTGATTTTGTTGCCATTGATATTTTAAAAATCTCTTTTAATTAAAACTTAAGATCTTTCGAAAGAAAAAATAAACTCGTCAAAGCATGTGCACCACTTATTAAATTAGAGTATAATTAATTTTATTCTCATACAATAAAAAATAACGAAATTTTCTGATTTGGAGAAATATATTTTTCATCTCTATCGCTAAAATTTTACAAGAATTTAATTCTTTTAAATAAAACGCTGGTTCTTTTACTAATTAATGCAAGTTTTATTAATGAACAAACTAGAATATTTTAAATTAACTGTTTTTGAGAATGCAACTTTATTTTCGACGAAGAGTTTTTGTTTAAGCAATTAATTATTTAAACATAAAATTTTAATAAGTAAATGCCTGATAAATGTAATTATGCTTCTGAAAGATTTATTTAGAAACTACAAAGATAGTTTAAATTCTTTTTCCAACCAATTTATTTTAATTAGGAAAATATCTTTCGCTGTTATTGCTTTATTAGTAAACTTATGAATAATTAGCGTCACGTAATCCTTATTTTTATTTATTTCGTTCTTAGAAATATGGTAAGATACTTTGAGTAAAGTATTCTAGAAAATGTTGAAAACTATGTACGAATTTCGTTAATTGAATATTTGTATTTGGCTTTCTTAAAAAACATAATAAATATTCATGGAATAATTTATTTTGTATGCATCTAGTGATTCGTCGCAGGGGAAATCTAATTATTTAATGAAAGTTATACTTAATTGATTTTATGAACAAGCATTATTTAAACTTTTAAAGAGAAACTATTTTCAAGCCCCATTGCACTTTTATCTTATTATTTGTTGCCTAAGTGTATGATTAAGTTTATAAGTAGGACATTTACCATTAAATGTCTAAAAGCCAATTAGTTAAGATATTGCCATAGTTATGAGTTCGATATTTTCATGTTTTAGTCTCTGTAAGAACTACATTCTTCGGATTGAAATATTTTGTTTGTGCCATATATAGACCCATATTATATATTTTATGATAGTCTCAAACAAAATGTTCTTAATTTTTGTAGTTTACTTTCTTATGGTCATTATAAGGTTTTTCCAGAATATAGGAACCTAGAGTCTTGGTGGCACAGGGGATAGGATGCTCTCCTCCCAATGAGGTGACACTGGTTCGAATCCCAGCGATGGCTGGTCGATACGAATCCGCTACCGGCTCGGACCAACCACAGTGTTGACGTAAAATATCCTTAGTGTTAGACGGATCGAGGATTAGAGTCCTCTTGCCATCAAGCTAACCGTGGGAAATTTTCGTCGTTTTCATTTTCATGTAACGCAAATGCGAGTTAGTTCGATCGAGAAATCCTCCACGAGCGCAAAATTCTCTCAATACTTGATCAAGGAGTTCCCTTGTATTCTGAATTGGGTTCAAAATTACAAGGCTACGGAGTTGAACATTGGTAGTTGTAAACTGTAAAAATTAGACCGGCTGTTAAACGACGGTTATAGAATATAAAGTAAAATATCGGAACCAAAAATTAGATAGGGTACTCCGTAATCCAGAGACAAAATCTAATTTGCATTTTAATTTGACAATTGTTAACACAAATGGAATGTAGATTTCTACTAACAAAAGTAAGAGATTTGTGTAAGACATATGGGGAAATATTTTTAGCTGCGAGTCAATTTTCAACGAAAAGAAACGTAACAAAAAATTTCATCGTAGTCTTAACATGGAGTAATGAACAAGGTAATTTTATCTGGTGGAATATCAAATTTTAAGATCTTTAATTTGGTTTTGTTTTAAAAATCAATCTTAACAATTTATCAATTAATACTATCAAACCAACAATTAAATGCTATCAAATTAATATAAACTAGTGGGCTGCGCCCCCTGCTCGCTGACGCTCGCCAAACCCCGAAAATTGCTACGCAATCTTATATGGTTTGCTTCGCAAACCAAGTTCGCTTCGCTCGCTACTAACTTAGGTACATNTTAAAATATCTATGTATTATTAAATGCTATCAAATTATTATAAATATATTTTCAATAATGATCTCTTTAAATCTATGACACACATACTTGATATTTTATAGAATATAAGATATTATAAGATGTAAGTACCTCGGTGGGAAAAAAATATATCAGGTATATTTGGGCTTCGGTTATTTTTAATTGAAATTTGCAAATGAGCTAAATTTAAAATTACACTTTTATAATTACAGATATGAATCAATTAGTTACTAATTTGCGTAGCTTGTCTTGTTTTTTCGGCTGGTGAAACAAAAAACACAGCTCTACACAATTAATGAAATTTTAACGTGGAGTAAGAAGGAGTTTGTTTACCTAGTTTGGGTTACCTTAATCCGCAACTTTTCTTTCTCTTGTTGAAAATATCTAGCTATGTTAGATTCAGGGACTCTATCGGAATATTGTGTCATGTAGTTAGTAATCATGCGTACCTCGCAAATGTCTCTCTGCATGACTTTTGTTCTTATAAAATCTAATTTTCACGAGCAAAGAGTCAATCTTAATTGTTAAAAAATGTGACTTCAAATTTTATAATTGAATAGTTAAACAATAATTTAAGTAACAAAATTAGACACAAAAATATACTTTATCTGAATAAACACATATTTTTTACAAAGGATTTAGATTCATCAAAATATAAGAAACAGCCACAATTTTAAACATATGATCTCAAAAGTTAGTCAAGAGAGCAGTCGAAGGTTAGGACCCCTTAATGTTAGTTTCACTTTTTGTGCATTACACCGTAAGTCGGGAAATTTTTGAGTGAATCAAAAAATTTTTGTGCACAATTATAAAATTTATTAAAAGAAAATCTCAATAAATTTTTTTTTAATGATTACTTATTATAATAGACGATAGAGTTAGTTTCTGAGGTAGAATATAGTTTTTATCTATTTAATCAATCTAATTTTTAATGACAAAATACAAATTTTAAACAAACTCGGTCAAATAGTATTTGAGAAACGAAAGTTTAAAGAAAACTTCTTTCTTGTGTTTTTATTATTTAGAAAAATTTCTATGAATCTTCGTCCAAATGTAGTATAAATTTGTATATCTAACAATGTTTAGCTCAATTTAATGAAAAAAGAGTTACGCTTAAAAAAATTAGTTTTGCTTAGTCTAATACTGACGAAATCCAACAATAATAATAAAAAATATAATTGTTTTAACTTTTTTAAATTACCACAGTTTTGTGTACAATTGTACTGTGTCGTAACTACCACGATAAATATTAAATACCAATTCACTAGTATATAAGACATGTTAACTTGATTATGTCAGGAAGTACCTTTTGATAGATGAATTTTGACATAGTCGATAATTAAATCCCTTCAATGGTGACCCGGACGTGATATGAGCTTGCCAATATAGATGGATGGTCCACATTTAAACAGTTTATTCGCTTAAAAATATTCACTGCTCAAAGAAGAAAAAATCCGGTGAAGTAAATAATGTCTCCCGGTAATAAACAATATTGAGAAAAAAGCCAACTGAGCGAAATGTTGTGAAGAAAAAACATAATGAGCAAAAATGATATAATGATATAAGAGCCTAAATCAACTAGTGGTATTCATTCATCGAATTCTATCACAGATAAAATTCTGGAAGGGGAGTTGTGTTGCTTAACTACCACTATAAATATTAAATACCAATTCACTGGTACATAAGACATGTTAACTTGATTCTATCAGGAGGTACCTTTTGATAGATGAAGGTTGACATAGTCTATAATTAAATCCTTTCAGTACATTGTTGATTAATATTGGTTGATTAATATTGTTTAATTAATGGTTTACTTTCTTTTTATTCTGTTTAAAGAATAGATAGTCATTTAGTTTATTATAAAATTTATGTTTCAGGTATCAAATTAATACTGCCAATGACGTTTTGGATGCTTTGATCCGTGTACCTCCACAAGATTCGGCTAGTGGGGTGGAGACTAAAGAAGATATAGTCAGCAAAATGGCAGAAGAAATGCTTCAGAAAATGCCGCCAGAATATGTGTCACACGAGGTAAAGTATTATAACTGTCTTCTACCAACCTTAATCATAGCTATCTGTAGTAAGATATAAAATTTTAACCTTTTAATTACTTTTCATATAATGCTAAGATTTCAAATAGTTTACAACACAACTTCACAATTCAAGGACATAACTATTACATGATGTCAATTTGCTTTATAGTTGACATGCTTAGTTTCAGAAGCGTAAAACTTTTTCTAAAAGTCTGTGTTTAGAAAGCTCAACATATTGGAAGAAGACTAGGTTTTAAAATAATGTTGGCACTAATGTAAGACGAATGAAATGAGGTCAATACTTTGAATGTCACAGCATGCAGAGTATTTTTAACATACAGAGTGTCCCAGGAATATTGGAACAAATTTTAAAGCGAGGTAAGGAGATCAAGAGAATATTTGCGTAGCAACCCATGGTCGGAAATGTCTTTGCTCCCCTCTAGGTAGTGTTGTTCACAAAATGGATTGGGCGCGGTTAACCGGTTACCTTGCCACCACGTTTTCCTAATTTAAGCTGCATGTATTTTTTTCGATGGAGTACACTGAAAAGTGCTATGGTTGCAAGAATCGTCTGTGTTGCTGTGGTTATCCAACAAAATATAGGTGTATTAGAGCGAGTCAGCCAATCTATGGCCCGACGGTGTGACGTAGGCATCGCCAGCAATGGTGGAAACTATTATCATCTTTTGTGACGTGTACCACAGCACATGTTATATCTTTGACCAATAAATATTTCAGATGTTTTCAGTCTTGTGTCACTTTATTTCTCGTTCCTGTCCTACTACTTTTCCATGATGTTTTCGATCATGGGTTGCTATGTATTTCTGAATCCTTGTGATGTCCCCTACCTCCCCTTAAAGTTGGTCCCATTAATTCTAGGACACTCTACATTTTCATTGGGGTATGAAGGTAAACCAATTTTTTTTTTAAATTACAGCGAAAATATAAAAATAAAATACAAATCTCATCAAGTGGCAAATTCTCCAAACTTGCTTTACCTGTTATATTGTGATTTTTGAATAGAAACTTATTGATTTTAAAGGTGCGTTTGTTTTAAGGAAGTTTGTTAGTTGCGCGGTGCTGGTTGACATTGTCCAAAAGTTTTTAATGAACAATGATCTCAATTGAAATCTTATCATTGGAACAAAGGGTATGATTGTTCGGGGTTTTCTGGTTTCTTATATCTCGGCAGCAAGCTATATTTTTTTTACAGTTTCTTAATGTTATTGATGTTTGAAAGTAACAAAGTGATAGTCCAAATCTTCACACAAAGACTTACTTTAACAAATCTGGAAGAAGCTTACAAGTTTAATTGTGATAGCAAAAAGCACTGGATTCGGGAAACGATAGAACCTTTGTATTTAGTACACGAATAGTATACGAAAAAATATCAAATAGTATAATTTTTTTTTCTTTTCTGTACTTAATAAGAGTTTTTACTTATTGCTAAGATTTGAACAAGTAACGGAATATATGTATTTTGATTATTTTAGGTATTAATGTGCGTCAAAATTAGAAAAAATGATTTTATTTAACCCTGAGTTCTCTCACGTTACTCATACTTTAAAAAAAAATTTTAATTTTATGTAACACTTAAACGGATTTAAAAAATGAGCAAGAGAATGCTTTAATTTAAAACTTCGCGAAATCTACATAATTTATGACTTTCCTTAAACAGTTTATTCGCAATTTTGACATTCTACTAATAGAACCCAAAAACATTATTCATTAATAAAACAGATATAAAGCCTTGTTTATAATCCAAAATTTGCTTTACGGTTTCTTAGAAAACTCCTTACGCAATATCGCTGACTTTTGATGAAATTTGATTTTCAATATCAAAATTTTCCAGCGACTCCTCTTTACGTGGTTTCCCCTCCCCAACCACGTACCCTCCCTCATATGCAGACGACATTTCATGGACATTAACGACCAATTCGAACCTTAGGAAGATGCATGGTAATGGCCTAGGTACCCCTATTTTAATGCCCTACCCCCATTACATCTCATTAGGTACGTTATTCACTTGCAAATGATGTCAGAAAGTAGAGTGCCATTCATTTGAAAGACTGAGGGGATATTGGGGAACAGGGGGGGAGGGCTGACCCAACTGTTAGTGGACACAAAACAAAGTCGGAAATGGAAAAGATGGGAATATTGCGAGGGGGGTGCGTCGCGGTTTCCCAGTCACTAAATATGCACATTTAGAATTATGAGTTAACATTATTTTAGAAACTGGGAATGTCGGGAGTTCTTTAATGAAGGTTTGTAGCTCCCATTTTGACAATTTCGAATGGAAGAAGACACAATGGTAATATGGCAATTTCTTCCTTTTGCTTTCTGGAAGAAAGGGGGTGGAAGAGAAATGTATAAAGTCTTTCAAAATAGATCTTTTCCTCAACTGGAGTTGTTCAATGACCTAATGAAGCTTGCTTTAGTTTTGAATATTTGTAGTTAAGTTCCTAAGAGGTGGTTAGTTTTGGTTAAATGGTATGTAAACACAAATAATAACGACTAATTCCATACTCAGGGTTATGGAATTTGAAAGATGATCCAATCTATGTTTGACTTAAAAACATTATAAAACATTAATGAGTATTATTATTATAATTAAAAGCCCTTGAAATTCTTTTTAGCGTTGGCATCAAAGAACTGCAAACCGAAGTATCAAAGGAGTGAGTTATGAGCATGAACGTTAACTACATTATTTAAAATTTCTGAATGAAAATTATTTTCTCTCCTGGTCAACGAAAAGCTGAAATTAACTGAGCCATAAGTCGAACAGAAATAAAAGTTTAAAGGGTGACAATTCATATAAACAAACTGTTCTACATTTCTGTTTTAATTATGTTATTAAGTTCCGCTCCTTGGTTCGGTCCTCGGGCAAGGCAAGGTTAACTCTGCCTTTCATCCCTTCAGTGGATCGATAAAATGAGTACCAAGCATGTTTGGGAACTAAACACTGGGGGTTCCACGTTGGGCTGACCATCCAACTGGAACATCTGCCCCTGCACCCCAGAGCCCAAAGGTCAAGAAAACTGAGATGGGCACAGTAAGTCTTGGTCCTCTATGGGCTGTCGCGCCACTGAATTTAGTTTAGTTTAAGTTCCGCAGGTTCAATATTTTTCTTTGGTTTTGTATACATTTCATGAGTTGATACTAAAATAATGGGATTAAAACAGTAGTTAATCCATCACTTAAATTTATAATCGTGTACATTAAGGAAATTTTATTATTGTTTTGTTTCAAATGCATTTTCGAGTAGCATTGAAATATATATAAATCAAATCATACCGCATATAATTTGAATAAAGTGTTTCTAATTCTGAGGCTTAACAGAATATAGATGTTGCATGCATTCAGAACTTCATTCTAAAAAGAGTACTCATACAAATTCAAAGTTAGACTAAAATAGAAAGGTACTCAAAGGACTAACACAGTGAGATCGAACGACAAAACAATCTGTAAGGGACTCTGATGGCAAGTGAACCCCCTCTTAGAACTTTATTTCCTATACTGTAATTGATCAATAACTTTATGACAGCACCTGTAGCATGCTTTAGTTATAAATAATTATAGAGACCGTCACCAATAGCCCATTACTGTAACTTTAATGCTACATTTATAACCAAATCAATTACTTATAACTAGATTTAGTTTTAATTGAATGGTGCATATACAGCACACATCACAAACCATAATACACAATCAGAGTATAGAATTAAAACGGTATTCTAAACCGTGTTAGATACGAAAGTAAATGGGGTAAGATGGAAGTCAACCTTGAAGTAGATAATAGATCTAAATTTCCTTAACTGAAATTAATCAATGGCCTAATGTAGTTATCACTTACTTTAAATTCCAACATAGTTCTGTTTCAATAAGCTATGCAGCAAAATTGCAACTTCTGTTACAATCTCAGAACATGGTATTTAAACGGGGAGCTAAATTTCGTCTAATGTTAACATTTTCGTTGTCTATCCTGCGCCTGAAGAGATTGTGGCGTCAACGCTACAGGGCTAATCAAGAGCCAGTGTGGGTCTGATGTCTCATTCAACAATCACGCGTTCTGGAGGAAGAGTTTTTGCAATAGGGTAATATCTATGAATGTCAAACCACAGAGAGAAGAAGACTGAGATAAGACAACAGAGTGAATGCAACAGAGATCAGAGTTAATACACACCATGCGTCAATAATGTCCAATCCTTATTAGCTCTTGAATTTATTGTTTTTAAAGTGGATGATGTGGTTTTTATTTTTGGTTTTCCTGCAGTAATTACACCTAGATATTCTTTTGAAGAACATCGATGCCAAAGTAATTATACACCTTCAGAAAAATTAATTTTAATTCATAAATTATAATATTATACCAAGAATCATGATATTATGCAAATTAACAGCAATTTAAATAAGGTGTTTATTTAAATCATAATATGATGTAATCAAGTACAATAAAAAAAATTTTTTAAAAGAGAAAGTTCAACTTTAAGCTTTATAAAGGTTGCAGTAAGTTAGCAAGATGCTTTACTTATCCATAGAATAGGCCACTTCAACTTAACCAAACTTGTTTATTTTATTCCTCTTCTTATTGGTCAATTTTTACCACTCGACAACTTCTAGTTTCAATTATTTCTGTTGATTCTGCCTATCGACGTTGATAATGCTTATTTATTGTACCGAAACGACTGTCTTTTTAAATCTCACGTTTGTTTTTCACGTTGTTATTAAAGTTACTATAAAGTGTTGCAATCCTCGGGCCGGGCAAGGCTGACTCAGCCTTTCATCCCTTCAGTGGGTCGATAAATGAGTACCAAGCATGCTTGGGAACTAAATACTAGGGGTTCCGCGTTCGGCTGACCACCTGACCGGAACATCTGCCCCTGCACCCCAGAGCACAAGGTCAAAAAAAACTGAGATGGGCACAGTAGGCCTTGGCCCTCTATGGGCTGTCGCGCCACTGAGTTTAGTAGTAATTNTCAGCCTTTCATCCCTTCAGTGGGTCGATAAATGAGTACCAAGCATACTTGGGAACTAAACACTAGAGGTTCCGCGTTCGGCTGACCACCTCACCGGAACATCTGCCCCTGCACCCCAGAGCCCAAGATCAAGAAAACTGAGATGGGCACAGTAGGCCTTGGCTCTCTATGGGCTGTCGCGCCACTGAGTTTAGTATAAAGTGTAAGTACAGTATTTTTTTAACTATGTCATATAATTTATTTTATTTAATAGACTTAAAAATAAATATGTTGCACATTTTAATCATTTGTATATACTAATCAAAGATAAATATTTATTTGTGTTTTATGTATAAGCATTTTAATTTTCTTGTTCGTATGAAAGACAATGAAGCATTAAAAATAGTTCTTTTAAGCTACACTTTTCTTTGTATTTTATAGAATACACTGTTTCATGGATATTTTTATTTGAAGCAAGATGCTTATTTTGTTTTAAATTAGCTTACAGTGAATTTTGAAAAAAATACACTCAAACAAAATATAGTTATTTGAAATTGAAAGCTAAAAATATATTCATAAATCCACTACGTATTTCAAAAAAATTAATTAATTATTTAATGAAATAAAGATTTTCCATTATATTATTACATGATTTATTAAAATTCAAATACGATACTTTTAAGTGACGTTTTATTAATCATAATCGTTACTATTACGATTGAATTTAACGTCAAAACCTTATGTTTAGTAGAAAATGTTTATTATAGTTAGCTATAACATTAAAACAGATTTTCGTACATAGTTAAACTGTAAAGAGGGAAACGGAGTTTAGTAATGGAATGAAAGTGCTTCGTTTATAATCTATTAATTCCTTTTACAATTAAATTTAAATCAAGCTATATAATTAGGCATCTTTGAAATTTAAATATCTGATTGATAGTTAAAAATGATATTCTGAATTCGAAACTTTTAACTATACTTTTGCTAGTAAACGCTAACCAAACTATTTCAATTTAAAAAGTATTAGTTATTTTAATAGATGCGATTTATTTTAGATGATAGGTGACGGTTTATTTTGATAATCAGCGCTTTAGAATATAAATATCATTAGAATTCTCTTATGCAGTTATCACATAGAGTTATTGCTCTTTTTTACTGTTCTTTTATTAAATTGGTTTTGTGTCTACCATAATGGAATCTTGCCATCGATATTTCATCCACTTTTCCTCTGACTAGAGCACCAAAATTCTTGTTGGAACTCTGTTCTCGTTGGCAATACTTCAATTGCTCCTTGATAACTAAGTAGAATTCATTGCCTTTTCATCATCAAATAGAATATATCATCAATCAAAATAAGATCATATAAGAGAGCAGCTAAGTAGGCAAAATTTTCATCGGGATCCCTGTTTTTGTTGCAAAATAAAAAGCATCTGTCGTTTCCTCGTTTCTTCAAGCAAAATTAATATCGACATACTAGTCACACGAAACTTATCATTAATCATGATTCCATTAATTTTTAATAGGAGCGTTTGTTGCAGAAACAAAGACACAGAGTATTAAATGTTTGCGTAACATCCCATGTCACACCTTTACAAATTTCCAATACTTTTTTCTGGCATTCAATTTTCTAATTACTGCTGTTTTAGGAATTTCCGTACCAATTTAAATATAAAAAGCTATTTTTTTATAATATTCTACAAATGGTGACAAACCTTTAGCGATTCCGATTCCAGATAGATTTTTAAGAGTGCAAAACTTTTCATTACGGTAGAGTTGATGATTCCCCTAAATTTGAATAAATAGCAATTTATGTTATGACCTTTGCTGACAAACAGTAAGAAATTTTGAAAAAAAAATTCTGTAATCACACAGAATTTTTATAAGAGTTGAGTTTATTTCTGTCCAAATTTAAATAAAATGTAATATTTTCTGATGATCTACTAAAAATATTTTACAAAATGAAGGCTTTTTTCAATACCTATCGATATGCTATATATTATGCTTGCGTGGTTTCGAAAACACGAACACTTTTCTTTTTAAAATAAACAGTATAAGAGCAACTATAGCGACCACAGTAGTCACTGTTCCTTAGACAAGAATTCTTTATTTGGAATGTACTTTAAGTAAATTTATTTTATTTGTACTTTAAATAATGGAAAAGTCCAGAATGCTATAATTTTCATTGACGTCCCAACAATAAGTGAAATAGGTTTATGATATTAACCTTTTCTTATTTAAAACTGATAAAGAAATAATGGTTACGACCAGCAAAGCAGCGAATTAGCAATATGGTTTAAAACTGACCAATCTAAATGTCAAAGATGAGTTCGTATTGTCATAATTATCGTTCGTATCGACATAATTTAAATTAGAACATTTAGTACCCACACAGAATTATCGTTTCAAGATATATATAGTTGGTAATCTTGAACCACAATTCTACGCATGTTTGTTGACAATTTAATAAGATGTTAAACTGAACAACGCTTCTGTTCAAGTTGAACAACAGTATCTTCTAATCAAGTTTAAGATAATTTAATTTAAAAGATAATATAATTTGCTAGATAATATCTTTCAACACGTTCCAAAATTTCTGACTATGTTGTGTACTGTTTTAGCAATTCTAATACGTATGACTGACTACAGCTACAGCACATTACGCAATAATTATCATCGATAATTAAATCTATCGATATTCCGAAACACTCATCATTTCTTGAACCATCATTGGCATTTATATTTTTGCTTCTGTCCCCGAGAAGACTCCACTAAAGCAGAAGCGTCATCAGTCTTTATGTTGTAACCATGGAGATGACGTTTGATCGCAGTAAGTCATACCTCTGAGACAAACTCTCTTTCCCCCTCTTATAAATATGAAATGTGAAGTGAAACTGATAATATTTTGTTACCTAATAACAGATCCCCCTTTGGAATAATTGCTCACATTTGTGGCGAATTGAGTGCCGTTCTGTGTAAGATAATTCCGACGCCTATAGTTTACGCGAGCTTTAATTATTCGATTTGGGATGGATAAACACTCTATTGTTTCGTTTGGTAATGGACCTAAAGTATTGTTTTTATTGACATCTGGAACAAAATAATTTGCTTTAAAAATGGGCTTGCAAGTGGCGATTGCAAGATTTGTGTTGGTAGTACCTCGCAATATGGATGATATGATGATATAATATAATAATATTTTATTTTCATTTTATAAATATCTGGATTGATTGATTTGAAATAAACTTTATGATGTAGCAGGCCCCAAAAAATATGAATGCGTTGAAATCTTTAAATTATGAATTTTGCAATGATCTAAATACACTCATTGGATTATATTTCGTCGGAGAGTATTTAAATCTGGAAACAGATAGTTAGTTCCATCAAAAAGTGTTTGTTCCAATTCTTGATTCAAAGTTCCCTTGTCTTCTGAGTTGTGTTCAAAATCGCTAAACATTATTATGCTAATTAATATTAAATATGCTAACATTTTATTTTCGTTAGCATCTACATGAAGAATAAATTAACTGCTATTTATTTATTACAAAAGAAATTAAAGGATTGTATAAAAATTTAAAAAAAGGTAGAAAACATACAATGCCTCTAAATGCAAGACAAATGGCATTCTTATGTAATGGAGAAATGATATCTAATTCATACAGATCTTGGTGAGAATAACGTTACAACTAAAAAAAGAAAGTAAAAAGCCTAATTTCATTTTATGAAATCAATGTCCAAGTAGATTTTCATTTTATTTTACATCCGTCGGTGAACAGCCGACCCAATTTTTGGGTTTACGACTACTATTGTTCAGCTCCGTAACCTTGTAATTTTGAACCAATCCAGAGGACAAGGAAACTCCTGGATCCCCCAGAGTTATTGATTTGTTATGGGAACATGGAGGACTTTGCTACTCGACAGATTTAACGTCCTTCAGTCACCACTTACTACACGGGGAGTCTTCGGCAGGCGGGGATCAAACCCACGAACTCTTGGACATGGGTCCAATGCCCTACCAACCAGGCTTTCCCGGCCTGTTGCCCAAGTAGCTTGGAAAGAATGAGTTGTGAATATGTACCTTCTCATTTAGAAATAGAAGTAGCGCATTCATCACTCTTTCAACACCTTAAAAACTAGCCTAATAAATGCTAACTCAAGTGTGGACATTTTTATATTTTGATTCTATTCTAATGGCTTGCGGTCTATTAATAGCTATACCCATAGTCATTTCACAGGAATCAGCCAAGAATTATTAAGTTTCCGCTAGAATAAATTGCGTAGATATTTCTTTAAGTAAAAATTAAGAAAAGAACACTGTTGTAATGCTCTATTAAAAATAATGAGCTATTTAAACAATCGAGTGAGGGCACGTGTCCTGTAATACACGGTTTCTTCTTTCTCAACAAATTGTACTCTCAGAAAAATTGGTTCAAAGTTGAAAAATAATACCTGTAACATGAATCATAATATTGTGCAAATTTGCTGAAACGTTGATAAGTTGTTAAATTAAAACAATTTTGTTTCTGTTAAAGCCATATTATGTTATAATACATTCAAGAAAGATTAATTTACACGGTAAAAAGAAATTAAAAAGGAAATGCACGGTAAAATGCAATGGTTCAACTGGGTACTTGCAAAAAATCACGTGGTTGTGCATGCCGTGTTAACGTTGCAGCTTTAAAGCTTGCGTTTATTACCATGAGGAATCAGTTTTCGGAACAGATTTATTTGGATACCTGCAAGCGACGTCATATGTATTTGCCAAACTTGATTGGCTAACAAAAGCGTGACGTCGCTTGCAGTTAGTATTCAGTTAGGCACCGTTTTGAGATTGAAGAAATTTTTCGCAATATTACGGTTCAACACACACAAAAAATTATAAAAGTAAAACATAGGTTTTAAAAACGTATTTTTTTTTAAATAAATAAAATCAATATAAGTTTAAAAAAAGTGTTACGAATTAAGATTACTTATAGGTTCGTCGAGCACTTCAAGAGATGGGTCCATTGCAGCCTATGAATATTTTCCTGAGACTTGAGTTAGATCGCATGAATAAAGTACTGACCACAGTCCGGAATGATTTGGTAGACTTACAATTAGCCATTGATGGTGTCATAATCATGAAAGATTCCTTACGAGATGCTCTGGATGCCATCTACGAAGCAAGAGTTCCTGAACTCTGGACTAAGGTTAGTGTTACAAATAAATAGTAAAAAATAATGATGGTGTTATTATTGCAAATTAAATATTTACTTTTTATATAATGGGCGAATGACGTCGAACGAAAACTGAGCAAGCAACATAAATTACACACATTCTTTCGCAACGTTGGCAACACTGTCGTTACGAATCCATGCTGCCATCTGTAGAGTAAAAAAATGCGTTGTGAAAACTCTCAACTCAACAAAGTAGATTTCTTAATGCTCTGGAATAAAAATTGAGTTCATCCAATATTGAAAAAGAAGACAAACGAAGAAGGGCGGTTCGTTTTTCGGGAACTGAAGGTGCTGGAACAAACGGAATTCATTGTTGCATATGCGTTGCGTTTGGCGAACACATCATGTTCTTAACACGTGCACACGAGTAGCAACAAAGATTTTGCGAAGAACGCACATCACCGCAAAGCTATCGAACTCTCTCGAAGCGAATTACGCTGAATAAAATTGCCTGGTTTCATCTGATCCTGGAAATTCGACGAGTCACAAAGGGAAGAAATTCGTTTTCGATCATTATCATCCATTATCAGATTTTTCTTTTTTGTGACTTCCATATTTTTGGTCACGTGAAGATAGATGTTTGTGTTGACAGGATGTTGGTTTCTTTCAGAGGATGAAGTGCAAGAGTGAAGGACGTTCTGCCAGTCACTATTACCCTTTCTACAAGACTGAAATTGATCGTGTTGTCTCCCTGTATGATAAATGTATCAACGCTTCCGCAATTATTTTTGAATAAAACAAATTCTACTGTCCATTTGCAGGGAGTGTTCAGTTCTCATTTGACTGTCCGTTATATTTACAATAATCTGATGAAATTTCCCTTTGAGCTTCACCTTCACAAAAACTGAAATCGATAATGATTCGTAAGAGTTTAATCATGTTCATGTGCTTTTTGACTTTAAACATTAGTTTGCAAAGTCATGTATTTATTTTGTTAACAATGATCTTACATTACTGAACACTCTGTAAAAAACTATTTTCCTTAACATTTATTTTTAGGTATCTTGGGAATCGAGTACTTTGGGATTTTGGTTTACAGAACTATTAGAAAGAGATCAGCAATTCAGACAGTGGTGTTTCAATGGAAAACCACATGCTTTTTGGATTTCTGGTTTATTCAACCCAACAGGATTTTTAACTGCTATGAGACAGGTATGAATCTTATTCGCAATTTATCGTCTTATGAAATTTGTAACTTATGATCTTATTCGTAAAAATTTCGAACTTTCGTTAAGGTTCGAACTAAGGTTGCCGACAGAAGGTGCTACAAATCATCGATGACAGGAGCGATAAGTTATTGAGTTAAAACGTAAAAGGAGTCTGTTACAAAGGTTTAGGAAGTTTAAGGCGTATATTCTATAGAACAACAAGTGTTACTGGTACTAGAATATGACAAATTGATAACAGTTTTACGGCATTTGTATTCTTTTCAAGAATTCTGCACACTATATTGGGCTTTCTTTTTGTCAACCTTTGTGACTAAATTCCGAAATTTCTACATAAAACTTTCACAATAGACATACTGTTAGTTCCAATCTTTGTTATTCTTTATTTCAGAAATTTATAATTATGAAATCAGTCAGTCAAGTGCTGAACACCCGGCAAGTAGTTCTTTTGTTTTTTACAACGTGTTTATTAACTCTCTTTAGTTTTAGTGCAAGGTATCTTGCACTCGAATTTTTAAACGCTTACGACTAGTTAAAGCAGTCAAATTTCTATTAAAGTTTTGTGATTGATATTAATGCGAATGTTTACAAAACGTTCGAAGCACAAATATAATCATTTTATCAACAAGTAGAATTGATCATCAATCTAAATTTCTACCACTTTCCTATTAGTTAGAGCGTTCAGAACTGAATAAGATAAGCTTTGATAAGCTGAATAAGATAAGCTGAATAAGATAAGCTGAATAAGATAAGCTGAATAAAATAAGCTGAATAAGATTTGTTCTGGATTAAAATACGTTTCTCAATCCCTTCCTGACTACAATGTGTCGAATCAATCATTAACACTAAATCGAATTCATCGTCGGAATAATTTTCGACAGAAATTTCAATTGGAGATCTGTGCTTGATATCAATAGCAAATTATAATAATTTACATAGAGGTGCAAGCAAAACTTATATTTATTTGAAATTTATACCACTTATCTGCATTAACAGATTAAAAAAAAAATTTAAAATCACGTTTCTCAAACAGACCTAAAAGAAACAAATTAGTGTAGGCCTATCCTAAACCGAAGAACCTAGTCACAATAAACTTCTACCACCTCTGAAAATCCATTGCTTTTCGAAAATGATGCGCTCTACTTTTTTCGTTTTAGATCTGCAAAAATAAATTACTTTCTTCGTTTTTATTTTACTTGAAAAACGTATCGTTTAAAATTTTCATTATCTGTCTATTTCAAAGATGCATTTAAAAGTGCATTTAGATATTTGAACTTTTTTCCATCCAAATGTATAAAAATTTTGCAGGACCTATTGGAAAACAACAACATATCACATATCCAATCCTATAACGATATTTGAAAAGAAAAATGAAAAGAAAAAGTCTTGGCAAATCATATTGGTTTTAGTGCATAAAGAAAAGAGCCATAATACATTCGCGAATCGGATGCTTGCAATCGAAACATATATAATTCATGTCAAGGATTTTCTTAACTTCACATCTCAAAAATTAAATAGTTTCTGAAATTAAAATAGAGTCAGATTACTCATACATTTAACGCTGTCTTCAATTTGTTGTGGTTTTTAATTTTTTAATAATAAGCTCTTCAATAGCGTGTAGTAAATGAAGATATGAGCTGGCTAACCCGAAATTACATAACGTGATATTAGAGTTATTTCTGCGCTACATCCTTACATTTAAAATACAATAAAATATTGTTAACAAGTCGAAATTCACAATTGAGGTTTCGAAGAACAAGTCAGAGAAGTAACAAATCGAAATCTAACATACATATTTGAGTTACAAGAATTTATCTTAAATCCTCATGCCTCATTTACAATTTTAAGTTAGAAACTGATCTATTTCTAGGAAACTTTTTAAGCTATGATTCAGATTTAAATGTTTTACTTCTAAAAACAATCATGATTCAAATGATTTTCGTAGTGCCTTTACAATCATGTTTGGGTCCCGCAGTGGACTGATCATAAGATTCCCAGTAGAACAACTAAGTCGAGGAGCGTGGCTTTTAGCAATGAAATTTCTGAGCATCAAGGCTCGCACCCCCGATATAATGATTGAGAGAGAGAAAAGTAACTGAAGATGTTAATCTAACAAATTTATACACCAAAATCAAGCATCATTGCAGATAGGTGACACTTAGATCAGCCTGCTTAGGTCCCGAGAGTGAGCGGTTTGGGTTCTCGTTAAACTTTTCTACCGTAAAGTGCTCGACTTCGCGCATATCGTTGGGTTACCAAGGTAGGGAAGCCATCTTCTCTACTAAAACTAAACTCAGTAGCGCAACAACCCATAGAGGGCCATCGCCCACTGTGCCCACCTCAGCTCAGCCGAACTCGGAACCCTCAGTGTTTAGTTCCCAAGCATGCTTGGTACTCATTTTATCGACCCACTAAAGCATTGTTTCTCAACGGGGCGATACCGCCCCCCTAGGGGCGGTGGGAGTATGCGGAGGGGCGGTGAACTTGTTTTTGGCGGTAGGGGGGTGTTGGGTATGTTTTGGGCACTAGGGGGGCGATGAGCATGTTTTGTTATTCAAATTTAACTTAACACGTTCACGCCGGGGTGACCCACCGGTGGGTCACGCTAGATTGTCTCATCTTGGCATCGCACCGGAGTAAAAACTGGTAACAATAAATTTCATTTTTTAGTTTTTTTCCGGGAATAATAAAAATCCACAACTACCAATTGTTTTTAACGGATGCAATCTTTATATTGAATTGCTTCTTCGCCGTGATAAATTTCCTTACAGTGAATTGTTATTGTTGAGAATGGATTAACTCCTCCCGAATATTATCTAATATTGAAATAGTTCTTCTACCAGTATTTTCTCTTTTCCCGTACCAGTATTTTCACTTTTCCCGGCGTGAACGAGTTAATAACTCCTAAATAAAATTAATAAATTAAGATTTATATAATAAATAAAATTAATCTGAAATTAATATTAAGGAAAAAAGATTAAATTATTATAATAAACTAAGACTATCTGATACACGATTTGTACCACCAACAAAACGAACTCATGCGACACCTATCCACCGATCCGAACCAGCACAGCGTAGAGCAGGAATTTTTGCCTCTGACTCATTCAAGTTTATTTAGTGAAAATTGAAGTGTATGCGCTTTTAGTATGTATGCTCGATTTGATCCGAGTTTCTTATGATGGTTTTCGTTCGCTTCAATCAAGTTTTTTCCCAGTTTCGATTCGATTTTATTCTTTATTTGGCCAGGTACGTGGATGAATTAGTTCTTTATCCTAAATTGTTTATTAATTTGGAGAAATAGTTGATTTTCTTTCATCGTTTGTATTTTGCTGCCACCAACGGTTAAACTGTCGGTTAAATAAGTGTCGTTAATACAGTGTCACGTACTTGAAGTTTGTATTTGCTCAATCGCTGTCAAACTCTCAACTACCCATGTGTTTATTTTATAACAAAATTATCTAATGTGGCAATGGATACTTTTCATTAGAAGGACCATTTGCAAAAAACTCATCCTGAGAAACAAAAGAAAGATATATCATGTTTCCGATCATCAAAGTCAAGTTTCTAAAGTCACCTACAGTCTCAGGCTTACTAGCAACCTCATCACAAAAATGCGACGAAGGTTTGATTGTCTCTTATAATGCATAAAAATTAATTCCTAAATTTGGGAAGGCTCATACCATCAGCAAAGAGTTGATGCTCCCGGCTGACGAGGAAGTTTTAGAAAGTTTTACCCCATCCAGCCGCATCGAATTTAATCAAAAATATCCAATTAAGCAACGATACAGTGCTGTGACGAATTGATGAAATGGCTGAAGAGGTTGAAGTTACCGTATGCAAGCTTTTGATATCCGACGAATTTTCCTTTCAAGTTGATGAATCAGCCTTGCCAAGTAATGTAGACTTTACTGTTGGCGTATGTCCGGTTTGTGAAGGAAAGAAAAATTATTGAGGAGATGCTTTTTGCTGTACTGTAGATACCAAAGGTGAATCTATTTTCAATACAGTCAAATATTATTTTAAAGAGCAAAACATTCCTCTTGTGAATATTTTGTCTGCTGTCACTGACGAAGCTCCTGCAATAGTGGATTGGCAGGTTGGTTTATCGCCGTTTTGAAGAAGGAGTTATCAGATATTTTAGCTGTTCACTGCATGATTCACAGACAGCATTTAGTAGGAAAAAATAAAAGCGACAGTTGGCATCAGTCTTAGCAATGTGTTATACCTGCTGTGAACAAAATTAGCAGTAATGCTCCCAAAGATTGATTATTCAAACAGCTATGTCAGAAAAACGATGAAGAAAATCACTGGCTCATACACACCGAGATTCACTGGCTTTCCAAAGGTGCATGTTTCAATAGGTTTCGACTCTGTTCTTGAGTTCCTCGAAGACAGAGCTGTAGCTCTGTTATTTGCAAAGATGTTATTTGCAAAATTTAATGGCTTTAATTTACAACTTCAAGTCAACGAGCTCAATTTTGATCCCTACTAAATCAGCTATTTCTACCTTTCGAAGAAAACTCATTTTGTGGAGGCAGAATTTTGGTGGGAATGAGTTCAGCCAATGCCCAATCTTATCATATCTTAAAAAGAAGGACGAAATTACCACTGATGATGCACAAGAATATTGTCAACACCTTGACTCTTTGCACATGGACTTTTCTGATTATTTCAATGATGTTTTGTCTCTGGAAGTCCCTCAATGGGTTATGAACCCTTTTGTGAATATTGAGATAACAGAGGTTCAGATTCAGGAGGAATTGGTTGAACTTCGGTTGAACTAATGAAGCTTTGAAATGGTGATCGTCTCACAAAAGTTTGGCTTCCCTTGAAGCCAAACTTTTGTGAGACGATAAACGTCAGTCGTAAGTAACGTCAGTCGACTCTACCCTGGACTGTGGATTATCGCCAAAAAATTTTTAATCGGCCTTCCTTTCTCCACCTTTTTGAACGTAGGTTCAATGCTATCTAGTCACAGAAAAGAGAAATCGACTCGAGATCGTGCTATGAAGGGACTTGCGTCTTCACCTCACTAAAAATATTGAACCGAACGTTACACTGATATAGTTACTTGATTGTTTCGTTGATACTACTTTTTAATGTAAAAAAAAAATAATTTTGGGTGTTTTTTTAATTATTTAATTAAGAATAAATTACTATTTTTTGTTGCATTTTTTTAAATTTCCGTTACCGTATTTATTTTGATTATGACAAATAGACTGCGAATACCAGGCGGTATAAAAGTATCGAGTTAACGTACACATTAATTTAAAGAAAAAAAGAAAACCAACGAATTTAACGCATAAAAAAACTGGATTTTCACAAAGGGGGGCGTTGAAAAGATTTTGGCTCTTTAAGGGGGCGGCAGCGTTAAAAAGGTTGAGAATCTATGCACTAAAGGGATGAAAGGCTGAGTCGGCCTAGCCCAGCTCTAGGATTGAACCGTGGACCTGTGGCACGAGAGCGCGAACAGCTACCATTCCGCCACCGGGCGTCCATCTCCTCTACAGAGGATCAAATTTGTGATGGCTTGTCTTCGGATCATCCTCAGGGATGTTTCCCAGACCGTCGGTAATAGCCCATTGCGCAGCTCTAGAATAACGTAAATAAAGTTCCTACCTACCTGGATACTGGGAAGTAAGGTTCATATTCATCTGAAAAATATCTGATATGCAACCAGGAAAAATTATAAAAAAAGTCGAATTCAGTAAAAATCGTCAATTTTATTGGTTTTGTAGAAATTTAAATTATCCCATTTTAAAAACATCACATCAGTTATCTTGCTTAATAGTAGTTAAACAATGCATCTGTACATATTCTTTTTTTTGTAAGCATCCAGTGCATCAATAATTCAAACCATAATCGGTATAATTTAAGCAATTTTCTTATTAACCATGTGTGGTTAGTAACACTCATATTTATTTGAAAATTTCTGAGGTTCAGCCAGGGAAAATGAAACACAAACACCAATTTCTGTGAAAACCAACAGTTTTATTGATTTTGCAGAAACGAAAAATATCAAATTTCAAAAACATCACATCAACTGATAGATTTAGTAGCGTGGTTAAACAATGCATCTGTACGTATTCTTTTTTTTAGGAAGTAACAAGAGCACACCAAGGTTGGGCTCTCGATTCCGTGTCTCAACGCAACAAAGTGACATCGTTCATAAGTTCGTCTGATGTGACAGAACCTCCCACAGAAGGTGTGTATATTTATGGCCTGCATCTGGAAGGTGCCTCTTGGGATAACAAGTCCGGTTGTCTCAGGGAGTCAGTACCCAAAGTTCTGTTCGAACTTTTACCTGTATTACACGTGTACGCAATACAGAGTACAGCTGGAAAGAGCCCAGATGTATATGAGTGTCCAGTGTACAAGAAAATACGAAGAACGGATGAAACGTACATAACATCGATCGATTTAAAAAGTGAACGGAACCCAAATTACTGGATATTACGAGGAGTTGCTCTGTTGTCGGATATAAAATAAAAGTATTAGATCATAGAAAATATTTAATGCAAGTTATCAAGTCCTATATCAAAATGTAAGAACTTTATACGTCATGTAATATATCTTTAATACTTTTATTGTGTAATCAGTTCAAAAACTGATGGTTTCATCGCTGATATTTGATAGGTAAGTTTGCTTCACTTACTGATCTGGTTCTGCTGTTTAGTATTTCTATTTATATCCGTATCTGTTTATGTCTTCTATTGTTATATATTACATGCTGAACAAAATGATATTTTTAAAAACATTGCTTTTATATAATTTCAAAACACTGATTTTTAATTAATTGCAAGATTAAAACTATTTATTACACGCATTTCATACGTTTAATTTGAAATGTTGCTCGCAGTTTAATCTCATTTTTAAGCATAATTATTATAATTACCTTTCCAAGTGATGCTGTAAAGTTAATTTTTCTAATTTCTGGCATAATAATTCTGACAGAAACATAACGAGATTCATTTTGGTCAACGGTTACAGGATTTCAGCTGTCGATTTTTCCGAAAATGTAATAAGTCTCTATTTAATAGTGCTATAAATGTAAGAATGCTTTAAATCTCGATTATTTTTTGTGAGAAACTAATTACAATTTTCTCTTCCAAAAATTTCTTTAAAATGCTTTAAAATTTAATTTTACTAATTTGCATCACAAATCTAAAACATTTTGACGTAAACGATTTTAGTTCAATATATTTTGCTACATAGTATCATTTATTTTGAATTTAATCTGTAGTTTTTTTTATTCTAAAAATGTTAACTATGAATGTATATATTTTTTTCAAGAAAATGTATTTTTTCTCTTTTCACAATAGTTTCTTAAAATGATTTAGAATTTAATTTTTTTATGGCATCTCAGATCTAAATTATTTAGACGTAAATAATTTCAGCTTAATTGATTCTGCTATATAGTGTAATTTATTTTGGATTTGAGCTATAGTTTTTTCTATAAATGTTAACTATGAATATCAATTGTTTTTTTAATGTATTAAATGTATTTTTTTTTCTCTTTTCGAAAGATTTCTTTAAAATGCTGAAGAATTTAACTTTTCTAATTTACATCTCAAATATAAAATAGTTAGTCTTAAGTAATTTGAGTGAAATTTATTCTGCTAAATTGTGTAATGCGAAATTTAAACAGGATTAATTAAAAGGGTTAAGTCCATGAGGGCTCATTAATTTGCGTAAGTAAGCAACTAGGAAAGTAAATTAAGAATAAAATTTCAGCCACTCAATTTAAAAATTTTGTTTGAAAATTATACACGAGAGTGTGCTAAAAAGATGTTACTATTTATTATGTGCATTGTAGTACAAACTGATTTGTAAATAGTTTAAATATTGCTACTTATAGTTATTTTGTATATAAATTTATAATAAAAGAATATTTTTAGATGTATTTAATTTTAAATGTATCAAACTCAGTGTACTAATTTTTGTACCATTTCTTAGTTAGCTATAGATTTTTTTTAAAAATTTTAAAACTCAGAAGGAGTGATAAAACCAATTTTGTAGTATTATTGGGTTAGAAAAATCTTTTGCCTCATTAAGGCTTATTAAAGATTACGTAATTTTCGTAGAAAATATGGGATTTTCAATTTTGATAAAAAAATGAGTCGTATGGAGTATTGTTAAGAAAAGCACTAAAATCAAACATCAATATTTTTCAAAAAATTCAATTAGTTTCAGAAATAAATTTACGACTTTTAATAGTTTTTTTCCACCTTAATGAAGTACGTTATCAGTAGTAAGTGAAATTAAATTAAAAAATTAATTTGCGATTTTTGCATATAATTTTTATTTTCTTTAGTCCTTAACGTAATAGTTTGCTCTTTCGTAAATAGATGGCAGCACATTATTTTTTACCATATACATTTTAGACTTTCCAACAACGAAACTGTGAGTTTTCATCAATAGTTGCTGAAAAGACTAAAGATTAAGTTATAAACATGTGTCTACAGTGTAAGCAGTAAATAGAAACAGGTCTGTTTTTTTTCTCTTATTCATTAAAATCTTTAACGTTTATGGAATCGTTTATGAATACGGAATTACCTTCGTGGTTAATTTTAAAATAAATTTCGAGCAAAATTTTATTTATGTATGTAAAGTTTTACTCAAGAATGTCTCATTAAGCTTTCCATCATGTAAAGGACGTTTCCCATTATTAAATACGACTAAAAACAGTCTAAGCCTCATCGTCAGTATAAATATTAAAATGCGATCTTTCTTTAAACTCCTTTAGGAGTTATGATATAAGCGTGAAAATTTAATTGCTATAAATTTTATCTGCGCCATAAAGTATCAGAAATCTAAGCATCATGCATTTTAAGACCTTAAACTAATTATTGAACCTTTCTACGTAAATCTCAAAAATTTCTCAAAGCATTTAAGATTAATGTTTCTTAAAACACATTCTAAAGTAATCAATTTTTGAACTTCACTTGAATTGTCATTCTCTTAAACGACAGTTGGATATTTGCTATCAAATTTTTAAACGCATTAAAGTTAATTTAGGAAACTTAAGTGCGTAAAATGTCAAACTCAGTTGTTGTTTCATTATCAAAGCTGTCACATGATTTATTGATAAAACTCCCATTTGAACTTGGGTTATTTTTGCTTGATGATTTTTTTTTTTTTTGGTTTATTTTCATCTGTTTGAATACCGTAATTATTACTCATCATTTTCATCTGGAATTTCTTTACTATTATAGATTAAATTTTTTCCACGTTTCTAATTCTGTATCTGAAAAAATATTTTTATGATAAATGTTTTATAAAGCCTTAACATTTTATGTTTTTGTATAAGAATTTTAAAACTTATTAAAAGTATTGATTTCATCATATACCAGTAAAATTTAATGCAGATTCATACCGATTGAATTCTTGTTCAGAATACTGAAACTTGATTTAGTATAATAGATTTTATATGTAATATCTGGAAAAATAACACTTATAATATGAATAAGTCTTGTCAAAGCTCTTTTAAAACAAGTTGAAATTAAAAAATGAATTTTCAAACTAAATTCAACAAAAAAGGAAAGGAAAAACTTCGTCTAAATATTTTAACAATTATGTAAAAGTTATTTTTTCTGGTATTATGTATTACTATTAGGTATTTCTGGTATTAGGTGAAAAAAAAGTATCTGTTATTATTTATCTTTTGTATAAATTTCTCTTATGTAGTATTATAAATCCTGCTGCATTTAATTTTTTTCGGTTGGCAACACTAAATTTTTTTTTGCAAAGCAGGCATTTTGTTTTAATTGCAATACTAAGAAAGAATCTGATAGAGGAAATACGGTTACGATATTATCGTATTTGAAATATCGATGAAATATTTTATGTTAATTATATTATGATGAATAAAATTACACTAACATCTATAATCAAAAGAAGTGAAGATTAATGCCGTGCCTTCAAGATGCTTTTAAATTACGATAACATAAGGTTGATACACTCTGGTCGGCACATATTTTTCGTAATGTATATACATTTTATTAAACTAATTTTGACAGCAACCGAGGTCATAAGGACACACATTGAAAAAAAAAACAGAGAGAATATTAATGATGATTGTGATATGAAAATTGCAGTTTGTGGTTCTTCCAGTGGATCAACTTACATATTGTAGATTGTGGTAGAGTGCGACGAGATCTTTGCAATATAGCTCTGTATTTCCATTAATGTAGCTTAGGGTTGAGGCTTGATAGATAACTTACATATTCTTATTTGTTTATATAAAATAACGTCGATTTTAAACAGTGAAAGCTAATTTAAATTACAAATTATATCATGCTGATACTTACAATCGACAGGGCCGTTACGATTGGCGGAGAATGGGCAACAGTAATCGTCTAGCATTCAACCTAAAAGCTGTTCACTCATTCAAGATGTTTGAAAAGAGCAAAACTGATTTAAGTCATACTTTTTCTATGTCTTATATAAATATGAAATTTCCTGAAGTTGTCTAGCAATTGATTCTATTGTCAAACACTAGGACGAGGTTTTAAACACGACTAACTTGATAGCAAGTGGACCATTTAAGATTGCGTGGTAATCTTTGATCGGCGAGAGTTAGTAATCATTTGAAATACAATTTTTTACTTATTTTTGTTTCGAAGCATTTTTTTTTCGATTTTAAATTTTAATGCCATTGTTCTTTTAACCTCATATTAAGTATATTTGCTTTTTTTTTCTAGAAATATTAATTTTTTTCCATTAAATTTATTTAGTCCAATTCTAGTCAGAATCTTGAAGCCACCTGAAATACTTTCGAAATACTAATGAGACATTACAAAAAGGTAAATTAAAGTTTTAACTAGTTTTTTCGTAAGAGAATATTTTTATTTTAAATGAATCTTTTTTGGGTATTTTTTAAACGTTATTGTACATTACAAATCACTTGTAGGGACTGATGTTACAGGTGTGAGAATTCTGATTGTTTCTTTGTGTATTCAACTCGTTTTTTGACAGATTCGCCGCTATGTACCTTACTTAATGGATTTCTGTAGACGTAGAGTTACATTTAAAATTTATGGTGAATATATTGCCGAAAGTGGCTAAGTGAGATGATGCACCTCTATCTTTTAAGCAACTGTTACGTTTTTGGATTATATAAAAAACAAAAACAAATTAAAGTTAATAAATATAGTCTTTGGAAGGAAACGCTATGTATATTGAATCGAATTTGTTTGAGAAAAGGGTAACATGTTTAAATGATTTAAGCGCATCATCTCCATTCTTAACAATTAAACGCAATATTTTTTTTTAAAAATAAGTCAGTTTCCAGCTTAAGTTGTATTGTTTAATGCGTTAATTCTTTAAAATATCTTCTCGTCTTCAGAAAGTGAAAGTATTATTATTTTTGTTTCTTATTTTGTATACCTTTCTATCATTTAGCTTTGATCCAAATCTTGGAAGAACTTTCAAATTTATAAAATTCTGGTAAATATTTCTTGCATACTTTTTTGGTAAAATTCTTACTAGCTTTTTGAGTTGAAACTTTTAATTTCTTCCAATATCATAAAAGTAAATTCTGGTAAAATTACCGTACTATATGGTAATGAAATTTCTGGTAAACAATAACATAATCCTGGTCAATAAAATAAAAATATACGGTATTTAAATCATTCATTGGGTAATTTTTCCGTTTATATAGTAATGGTTAACTGCAAATTCTGGATTTCAAAATTATAGTTTTTATTACCACACATTTAGTAAAAAAAAATACAAAACTAAAAAGTCAATTTAACCAAATAAATGTTATGTGTTGATAATATGTATGACGCCTCTAATTTTTCCTACAATAACAAACATAACATTGATTATCTTAATTTTATTCAATTATTTACCAAAAAGGGTGCTTAGGAGACTTTATCGTAACTCATTATTAAGCTGAAATATTTTTCAATTACTGTTTATTAGATTTCAATTAAAATCAAGTTAATAACTAAACAGCAAATCTACTTGCACACGAAGTTTTATAATGCGAAATAAAAGCAATGATTCAGAGATTATTTTCAAACAGACACATACCAAGCGGCACTCTGGCCGCCTGGAAAGAATAGAACGTAATTTAATTAGCACATAAATAGAATAAAAGGTTCGCTATTTCTGCCCTAATTCCATTGACAGAATTTTGATCATATCGTTTTAGAGGAATTTTATGTTTCAGTTAGTGATATTTCATTAAAATTGATGAGGTGAAATCGTAGCAAAGCATTCCTGTATCACCCAGTTGTGGGCCTATGGAGTTGGGGAGGTAAAGTGTCCACGATTTGGTGACCAATCTTGTATCGATAGCAATCTGGCATCGATAGATCTAAAGCTGGATAGGTTTTAATCACCCGCGAGTATAGAACTATGTTTCTTATAACTGGAGTTCCAGTTCCTTAACTGCTAGGCAATCATGGTTTAAGATTGATGAGGTAGTCTTAGAAAATTAAGTACCTAATACCATACCATTGTTAATATTAAGTTTACTAACTTTAAATCCATTTAAGGTTTGGGAAGACGATAGGAAAATTAAATTCATTAAAGCTTCGATCAAATGTTGATGCATTTATGGTCGTATAATCAGAACATATTTATGAACTTAGGCTTAAGGTATCCGAGTGAACGAAAATCGGCAACTTCGACGCAAATTTCGCTTTTTCTTACAATGCATACCTGAACTTTAATTCATAAGCATTATATTTAGAATTTTTTTAAAACAAAAATTCAAAAATAAACACTATATTTAGTTCTATTTCACTGTCTTTTTGAAATTTTTAAGATAATAGTTCAAAACACAGGTAATAACATTATTGATCGAGAAAAAAAAATTTTTTTATGCATTGCAAGCTTGTTGAAGAGTTGTTAGCATTTATAATCTTAGAGCTCCTGCTTACCAAACTAAAGATTAATATTTTATTTCTTTTTAAAAAATATCTCGAAACCAGTTGGATACCTTAATAGTGAGTTCACAAATCATAATAAAACTCAGAAAAGAAAGGATATAAAATGAAATAAACACAAAGGCTGCTTTTGTAACATATTTTTTTATTCAGTTTTTCACTTAAATACAAGACTTACATTTTATGCACACATGTAACATCTTATTTCCGCATGGAAAGCAGATATATAAACTCAAAAAAAAGAAAGATTTTTTTTATCTGCAGAAATTAAAATACAAAGCGAACACTAAAATTCCTCATTAAGAAATTATAATTTAAATTTGCACCCAAAATAGCGAAAACGTTTAAAAAAACCACCAGAAAGTTATTCAGTGAGAACTCAAAAGGTTTTTGAATTTTCTTTATATTTTATCCCAAATTAAGATATTTATAGACTGTTCAAGAAATTAGTAAATATCGTCCATTGAATTAAAATATTTTACTTTATTTATAACTTTTTTGATTTACAAATAAACATTTTGATTCTCTTCGGCCCAAATTTTTGCATTTTAAATAAAGAGATAATTGAAAACGTAGAACATAACCCCAGAATAAAAATAAACTTTCTAACCGAGAAAAAAATTCCAAATTTTTAGAATACTATTTTTAGCATCCTGTCAAGTTTCTGAACCGGAAAATAGAATTTGGTTCAGAACAATGCACTAAAAATAATATTTTGAAAACCTGGATAGTAAATGAGTTTACAATAATTTGTTTAATTGTTAGTCAGAAAGGAATTTTATTCCCATAAGTTTAAATTCTTTGTCGTATAAGCAACAATATAGAACATGAAAATTACCATTAGTTAGATTATGAGCAACAATTAAATTTTTCTTACCAAAATCAAAAATAAAATTAAACAAATATTGGGCCTCAGAGTATAAAAAAATGGAAGTAGAGTAAAATTTTTAGAAATAGAGAATGAACAAAATATTATTTGTAACATTCAAGGTCTTACGAAATGACCGCCTAAAGTACACATTTTAGCCAAATTTATACAATAAAGCCAAAATTGAAATAAAAAGAGGAATAAGAAAAGCGATATTTGGACATTTCTGAGGATGTTGAACTAAAAAACACAAAATCAAGTTTGATCCTTTTAAAAATCTCGAAGAAGTAATCACCTTTCAATACTATTCTGTGTCCTTCGGCAATCAAACATGTTTTCGATTCCGCTTTTCTCAGTAGTAATTCGCAAGATATTGAAAGAGGTTTTTGTTTTTTCTAGCTTTAATAATTAGTGACTTTACTTTCGTTGTCTACTTTTTGACAGAGATTTCAAAAAATAATTTTTAAGGATGGCCATTACGCAACACCTTGTATAAAATGAACACTCCCAATTTCAGTTTTGAAGATATAAAACAGGTAATAGAATTTTAACTCAGTGTTATTTTGCATGATATATTAGAATACCAGAAAAAAAATTGTTTTTAACCCATAATTTCTTTTAAAAACTTTTATATATACAGTAATAAAGACAACTTCTTAATGCGTTCACTTCTTTACTAAAGTTTCTATAGTTCTTAACAATTAATACAACACTAGAACCATAGAAACAATCTACAATTCTACAGACAGAAATGTTATTTTAAAATGTCAACCCCACACCAACGTGGAACAAAAAATGTTCGGTGTCAAAATATACACACAATATTTTTACTTTTGTTGTTTGAATGTACAAAAACGCTGCAATAGTAGTGAGCTTTTTAAATAACTCTACTAAAAAAACTTGTTTATACATTTACATATATGGTTTATATGTATATGATACTAGATAATATGGTTTTTAAAACATAATAATCTAAATTTTTAAAAAAACGGGGAGTTTTTATATTAATTTCATATTATATTACTTATATTAAATTCAATTTGTTAAAAGAAAAAGTATAAACATTTCAAAAGTCGTCCATACACATTATTATTACTTTTTTCATGAAATTTTAGACCCCTACCCAAAGTAATAAGTTCTCATCATTTTTATTACTTAATTTTTTTTTATAAAAGCGGTTTCAATTTTAAAGACAATGAGAGTTTTCCGAATAATTTCCTTTATAAAAGTTTTTCTAATTTCTAATGTATGCAAACTTTTTATTTAATTCTTTTAATAAGTATTCTCAATTTCATATGCAATCAAATAGCTTCTCATTAAATACAAATAAACTGTACTATATTTAACTCTACAATGCATTTTTAACGACTATTTTAGGTATTTTACAATTAAAAAATAATGAATCTGCCAAAAATTAATCAAAAAATAAATACAGACAAAATTCAATATTGGTATTATAAGCCAAAGAACCAACGACCACAATCAGTATTATAATGAATCTGCCGAAAATTAATTAAAAAATAAATAAAGACAAAATTCAATATTGGTATCACAAGCCAAATACCAACAACCACAATCAATATTACATTTGAATCCCTCAGAACGATATGCATAGAGATTATGTATGGACAACCCCAAAACAAAAATAGAATTTAATTTATTTAATATAACTTTTGAACAATAAATTTTGCTTATTTTATTTTATTGATTAGGATATATGAAGACTAATGTGTTGCAAAATATATAACGAATTTAAAACGCTAATCATTTTTTAGCCAGTATATTAAAAAGTGTCATTTAAAACAGAATAGTTTGAGATATCTAACAGTGATGAAAATAAGTCGATGCACATTGATGAGCATATGAATTATTTTACGAATTACAAAACATAAATTATCTTGAGAGACAGTCTCTTAGTCATTCTTTGACTTGCAGTGACTGTGTTTGGTACAAAATGCATTGACATTGAAAATCGACACAAAGTTTCTGACTTAATTGACAGTTTTTTTATTTTAAAGAAATTTCAAAAGATAATTAGATCAATGCACGAAACAAGAGGTACATAGATGTTAAATTATAAGAAATATTGCTTAACATGCAGAATGCAGTTAACCAAAACTGTGATTCGTGGCTAAATTTCTTAATTATTTTCAGAAATATAATCAGAAATCATGGTGGAGAATTTCTATTATTCTTTTAATAACATTATCCATGCTGATTTAAAATTATATATTAATATTAGAAATTATAATCAATTTTCATTATACGACAAATTATAAACAATAACATCAATGCACCGTTTTTCTTTCTTAGAGAACTACAAAACATTTTTTATAGTTCTTATTTTGATATTCATAACAATCCACTTTAAGCAATTTGAAACATCAAAAAACAAATTCCAATTTTCACAAAGATGTATCATCAATCAATAAATTTTTTACTTTTCACTGATTTTTATAATCACAAGTTACAATAAAAAATCACAATAAACATATTTTTTTTCCAACATATATCTTCTTAATCTTTTACCCTGTCGTAAGCAGTGCACCATAGCCGAAGCATTCAAAAAATTGACAATAATATAGTATTTTCGAATATAGTCTTCATGATAATCAACCAAGAAAATTCTAATTTGTCATTTACACTTTTTTTCTGTACACAATAAGTTTTAGTGATTGAATCACAAACAATGCGAATTCCTCACTCGCGTTTAGAAGCGGTTTTATACACGGCAATTCAAGATTTAAGTTTTCTTGCTGCAGTACAAAACTTTAAACATAAAAGTATCGAACATATTGACGAGAACAACTAGTTAAACTAACTTGCTTCTTTCTCCTGATCAAATAGTCTACATATTTGTTGAGAGTTTGATGTGAGAAAATATAATTCAGACACTATTTTGTATATACCTTTTCATTCTTTCACGGGGAAAAGAGGAAAAACAATCACCAAATGAAAATTATATCTGTGTTAATCGTGGTTATAATAAGAATAATAATAATAAATCAATAGTCGTTTATGCATTACGCGGAATCTGTGCGTAGTCTCTCTGAAGTCAACTAACTCATTCATAAAGTCATCTGTTTTAAGTCATTTTTCTTCACAACAATTCACCGCGTTTAATTTGTTTTTATTGTTTCAATTTTACAGTGTACTCTAGTTTAAAGAGGATTTCAACTTATTTTACAGATGCATAAGAATTTTGAGGAGGTCTGGCAGCAACCCACGTTGTGAAGACATCCCTAAAAAAAAGAGAGAAAAAATTAAATTAAGTTACATAAAAATTATTAATAGTTAATGTGTGTCATTAAAAAATTAATTTTGAAATTTATTTATTGGTTTAAATAAATTAAATATACAGAATTAATTTATTAGTTTTCATTCGGAATTAGAATGTTTCAATACAAAACTCCATTTACAAGAGTTTCTTTTCAAGCGATTGAAAAATATGATTGAATTGAACTCAGTTAATTTTAACGAGTTTTATAACAAAGGACAAAACAAACTTGTCTAAGCATTATCTCGGTCATTTATTAAATGCATTCAGGTTTGGATATTTCTATATTTTGATGCTTATGGTATATGAGTTACCATAACGATTTTGTTCCCAAAATTAGTACTTTTCAAATTTTAGTTATTTAATATTATATGTGTCATTAAATAGATTATATATTCGAAAGTAAATGCGAATAGACTATTATTTTACATTTCATATATTACTGAGAGAACCGAATGTTGGATCCAAAAATTAAGACACCAGTCAATTATTCTTAGAGCAGTGATTTTACTATAGTTTTACTTTGTATAGTAGAGTAAGTTTTAAGAAAAAGTTTTACATAAGTTGTTTTTGAAGATGAAAGTGCTACTAAAAATATTAAGTACTCTTCTCAAATGATTATCCACGTAGCAAATGAACTATCCAAAACATTATTAGACATAATTTAACTTTCTAAATGTTAATAAAACAATTAATACTAGAGTGAAAAAAACTCCGTATCGAATGACGGTAAGAAGTACCGGACCGCAGGGTGCCAGTACTTTTTACCGTGAAATAAATTTTTACCTTTAAAGTTTGCGAAACAAACCATCTGATATATCGTATTTTTTACAGTAATATTTGCTATAAAATCACTGTAATTAAATAAATATTATTGTAAAAGTGAATTTTAGGGGGAAATGGATTTTACGGACTCATGGTGTCAGTACTTTTTACTGTAATGTGACCCGGAATTTTTTACAGTGTACATTTTGTGCAATTTTGGATTGCCTAACTATTTATAAAAATAAGATATATTTGTTCGCACCTGCAATGTGAGACAACGCAGTCGTTATTGCAGTAATCACCCCTGTCCCATTCTTGTGGTGTGTCTCCTCTGGAGCAGCTATTCTGGAGTGGCGATGCACACATCATGCCTCCTTGCTGCTGTGGTTGCTGTCCTGGATGTTGCATCTGCTGTGACTGCAACAGAAAAACAAATTTAAAAATCAGGAACGCCCACGTAAAAAGTCTCTGTAAAAATCAATAATTTCAAAAACTTACCATGTTTGAAGGGTAAGATATATTGTTGTTGTTACTGTTGGCGTTATTGTTGATAGGTGTTAAGTGTTGCATTCCTGGGTGTTGTTGCATAACATGCTGGGGCGGAGGTGATCCCATGTGCATCATTTGCTGTTGAGGTGGCCCAGGGCTCAGCATTTGATGCAGCATCTGATGTGATGGCGCAGAAGAATGAGGAGACATGTGTTGCTGCATCATGTGCGGATGATGTCCACCATTCATCTGGCCCTAAGGAAAGTGAGAAGTCGTTTGTGAACAAGAAAACAAGAAAATACACTCTCAGCAAATTTAAATTAAGTGGAATCATTTGTATGTTTCCAATAAGTTTATTGTAAAATAATTCCAAAAAAAGATTACATTGCAAACTTTGTGGACAAAACTTTGTTGAACAAATATTGAGCAGTCACATGATTGTGATATGTCAAATAGCCAAAAAAAAAGCTGAAGCCATGCTATGTCCAAATCAGGAAAGTGAACTATATCACTGAGTGAAATAAATAAATCGTCATTTGCACCATCTCTATTGGTCGATTCATATTCACATCCCGATAGAAACTTATTCTTGTTGGTCGCTATCTGTAACTCATTGATCATTGATGGATTGTCAGTGGACAGAGAAGTGAAGTGACTATTAATATTGTTCATAGGAAATAGCTCTCACCTTTGATACAACTATTCAGGTCCGAATAATAGCTATGGTTAGGTTTCGGCATACAGCTCCAAGCACGAGTTAAAATATCTGTAATTGTCGATGGATTCTAGATCAGATTGGATTCTGGATTAGAGATCTCTATTACAATCTAGATAATATGTGAATGGTTTCGTGGTTTTTCATTTTATGCTTGCTTTTATTTTTATTTGAGATTGGCTACAGTAAAAAAAAATCTTCCACGGAAGCAAGTTTGTTTTTGGGCTCTCCTTGTTTCCTGAATTCTTTATAGGTTCTGAAGCTCTTGGATTCAAATTTACAAGAATTTAAGGCGATTGATATGATATCTATTAAATTTCGTAAGACAATATAACAGCGCAATATAATATTATACAATGAAACTTCGTTCATTTTAGTTTACCTAACAAGATTTTGCTTACACTCAAATTATTTTATTAACAACAATTAATGTTTAATGATGAAAGTAGATTCCCTTACCTGCCCCATGATGAGAGACTGAGAGTTTGACATGTTCTGCAGATTTGAAACCGGATTTCCCTCCATAAGAGAAGTCAAAAGTGGTGATTTTTTCTGCAACGGCGATAACGCTTGGCCAGGCATTGAGTTCATGGCTGAAGACATAGATGTTGGNGTCAAAAAGCTGAAGCCATGTTATGTCCTAGCCAGAAGGTGAACTATATCACTGAGTGAAATAAATGAATCGTCATCTGCACCATCTCTATTGGTCAATTCATATTCACATCCCAATAGAAACTTATTCTTTTTGGTTGCTATCTGTAACTCATTGATCATTGATGGATTGTCAGTGGACAGAGAAGTGAAATGACGTCAGTTTAGATATCTCTATATACAGTGTAATATTGCTCATTGGAAATAGCTCTTACTTTTGATAGCTATTCCGGCCCGAATAATAGCTAGGGTTCGGTTTCAGCATACAGCTCCAAGCACGAGTTAAACTATCTGTAATTGTCGTTGGATTCTGGATCAGATAGGATTCTAGATTAGAGATCTTTATTACAATCTAGATCAGGGATGGCGAACCATTGGCACGCGTGCCATTTATGGCACGAGGCACAATATTTTGGGCACGCCACCAATCACAATTTTTATTTCACTATGAAGTATATGTAACAATTAAATTAAAATTCAATAAAACAAAGGAAATGATAAACAATTATTAATAAAAAAAATTACAATTAATGCTAAAAAACAATTAATAACTATAAAAAGCAAGCTAACAATAGATAACTAGCAAAAAAAATAAAAAATTAACAGTCCTACTTAAACTAACATCTTACAACCTAATATAAGTTATTTGTAACTAATCTATCTAAACAGAAGTCACACTGATGTTACTTTAAGTTGTTTCAAGACATGGCAAAATGTTTATTTTTCTTTTTTTCAATGTAAATAAAGAGTTTTGAGTTGAAAGTATTTAGTATTATTATTATCCCAATAATCATGAAGTCAAAATTATTTGACGGCACGTCTATGAATTCACTAAACGATTTTTTAGAAAAAATGGCACGTTGGTGTATAAAGGTTCGCCACCCCTGATCTAGATAATATGTGAAAGGTTTCATGGTTTTTCTTTTTATGCTTGCTTTTATTTTTATTTGAGATTGGTTACAGTAAAAATATCTTCATACCTGCCAACTTTTACGCATTTGGCGTAAAATTTCATTTCTATATTTAAAGTGGTAGTAAAATGTATACTTACTATATATTCCTTGCATTTATAAACATAATTTACAATATTTCTGACCATCACTCTATTTTTAAAAAAATTAAGCATATAGATTAAAATGTAATACTTATGTTGAAGCCAGTCTACGCTTGTTCAAAGTGCAGCATATGTTTCTGCCTAATATTGTAATTTAGATTTCACTTTGCTACCACAGGGAAAAATCATCCTCGAAATGATTAAATGTTGGCAGGCATGTATCTTCCACGAAAATAAGTTTGTTTTTGGGCTCTCCTTGTTTCCTGAATTTTTTTAGGTTCTGAAGCGCTTGGATTAAAATTTACAAGAATTTAAGGTGATTGATATATGGGATCTATTAAATTTCGTAAGACAATATAACCGCGCAATATAATATTATACAATGAAACTTCGTTCATTTTAGTTTACCTAACAAGATTTTGCCTACACTAAAATTATTTCATTAACAACAATGTTTGATTAATGTTTAATGATGAAAGTAGATTCCCTTACCTGCCCCATGATGAGAGACTGAGAGTTTGACATGTTCTGCAGATTTGAAACCGGATTTCCCTCCATAAGAGAAGTCAAAAGTGGTGATTTTTTCTGCAACGGCGATAACGCTTGGCCAGGCATTGAGTTCATGGCTGAAGACATAGATGTTGGAGTAGAGCCAGTCCCATAAATATTATCCGACTGATCATTCGCAGCCTGCAAATTATCATACATTTCACATTTAATCAAACATTTTTAAAGGACTACTCATAGTGCAGTTCTACATTACAAGTTCAGGATTGTCCTATTACTAAAGTGGTTGCACAATTATAAAAATTTCATCTAATGCTTTCTAATATTTAATAAACTTTGGACATTTACTTTTTAGAGACCTACACACTAGGGGACTATACTCTTTAGAAAAAATCTTTTGTGGGAAAAACTCAGTGACATGTAAACTAAATGTTTACTAATAACTTCATAAATAACTTCATAATAACATAAAAATAACTTCAGGTTAAAACAAGCATAGAAAATTAGCCAAATGTGATGGGAATTTTCATATTACAATGAACATTTAATATTTTCTTCTCAACGATACTGAAGCATCAGAAAAATATGTAAAAAAAATCACAATTCAGACTAGCCAATATGTAACTTTTTATTTAACTTGAAATGTAAAATTCAAGAATATTATATTTTGCATCTAAATATGCAAAATAAATAGAAAGGAAATATTTCAAATTTAACTGATTTTTTTTAAAAATATTTTAAACGTTGTTTTCCAGATAGCGTGAAACAATGACAAACATAACGGATGAAACCTTCTTGCACGCAAAAAGGATAATAAAATTAAAAACTCGAATTTTCCTTCATTGAATTATTTCAAATTAACATTTTTGTTAAAAAAAAATAACATATTTTTTTCTGCGTTAGCCGAAAAAACATTCAATGCAAAAAAGAAAAAAAAAGTTAATAACCTATTGTTCTGCTGTATAACAATTATCTTATATTTCAAGCACTTTTTACCTTTTAGATTTTTGTTAATTGCTTTAGCTTTATGAAATAGCATATATTTATTTTATTTCAAACGAATATTTTTGCCAACATTTTCAAAATTTCCTATAACACAGAACATAAAAACTTATTTTAGTTTGTAAATAAGATTAAATAAAATTAACTAACCATTAAGCTTAAGTTCATAAATATTTACTGATTTTACGACCATATTCGCATTAACAATTAACTGCATTAAATGGATTTAATGTCATTACTGAATACCAAGAATAGTATTTGGTACTTAATTTAATAAGACTACCTCATCAATTTTAATGAAATATCACTAATTGCAATATCGAATTCCTCGAAACTAAAATGGTCTAAACACAGCTTCAATAGAATTAGAGAAGTGGAACTTAAGCATTATCCATAGCAGTCGAAATTACAGAATAGACTTTGAATTTCTTAAATTAATTATGTTTATTTCAAAATAAATCGTATACAGTTCTTTGTTCGGATTTTTATCTGGTGTATTATTTTAAAGAAAACAAACATTTGAGTTTATAATAAGTACTCCAGTTGTTGCAGTTAAGAGAAGAAAAATTAAAATTTCTTGTCATATATATAAACATTTGACTGAAAGTTAAGTTAAAAAAAAGTACTTACCAACATTTTACAAAACAGAAGAGATCCTTATACCAAAACATGCATTCTAACATCCGCTCTCAAACATTCATACACTTAATGATTTTTTTATAAGAACAAAACTACTCACAAAAGATTGAAAAGAAAAAACATAAAAAGAAAATAAGCATTTTTTGAACACAAGACACAGATTTTATTGAAACAGGTGGAAACAAAAAGCGAAATTTATATCATTTAAAAATGTATGATTTAAAAAAATATTTTCTCTTTCCTGTCTAAGAAATATAAGTTTTAAAATACAAAAATTGTTATGAAATGTCAGTCTAATTAAAGCGTACGAAAGTTTGCTTATAGTAATAAAAACAAGTTTTTTTTTAAATGATTGATCAAAATTATTGTTAAACAATTGTAGGAAATAATTTATTGTTTTTAAAGAAAAATTGCGATACAATTTATGAAAGGCTTATTTCAATCATAAAAAATTAAGTTCAAGTTCAAGTTTCAATTTGGTAGCAATGTATTAATATAAGAAATATGTATTTTGTAAACACACTGTAATATGCAATAATCGATACTGATTCATATTCATTTCATAAAGAAAATGATACAGTAAACTAATTAATAACACTAAACACTCACATAAATTTAGTCATGTGCTTTTAACCGTTATTTAGCCATAATAATTTAAATATTTTTAGTGACGTCATTCAACATTTGTTTTCTTTTATTGTTGTTTATTTATAATGTTACAATTTCGTACTAAAAATACATAAACGGGGGAAGATTATATTTAAAAATTTTAATCAATAACTAAATTAATAACTTAAATTAAAAACCTAAATCAAAACTTATTCAAATAAGTAGTACAAAAATTATTTTTAAGTTAGAAATTTGAAGCTAATAACCACAGATCAGAAATGACATTTTGTTTGGAAGCTCTTCCTTAAATTTTTAAATTATTTTAATTCTTACACTCAATATAATTAAATTTAACAGCAAAACAATTAGTTAGAAAATGAAAGCGAGATAATATTTACCTTGGAAACAAGACTTGCTCTATAAGCTGCAAGTGCTTTCAAATATTCTTTCTTGGCTGCTTCAGTTTTCTTTTTGTATACCTAAATTAATAATCATTAGGTTTTACGTTCATTTTTACCATTAATTATAAATAAAATATCTTTATAAAATTTTACTTTGAAGTATATAGTTTTTAGTATGTCCTCACAAAATACATTGACATGAATAATTGGTAACATATAAATAATATCTTGGCCATAAATTGAAAAGAAATTGGACATTTTGTTACTTAACTAAAAGGACAAAAATTCAAAAAACTTATTATGAATAAATGTACTCTTATTGTTTTTGACTAACCTACTTGTGTCATTTGATTGATTCTACTAAGTTCGAAATTCTCTACTTTTGTTTTAGTTGATAATTACATTAGTTAATACTTACTAAGTTGAAAATATTTTAATTAAAAATTATTTGGATTTAGAAATTGATTAATTCTAGGTCGCAGTTTGTACTGTAGTGCAAAAATTTATTTATGTAACATTAACTTATAATAAGTTAAGAGAAGATCGGTTTCATATTACAAAGTCAATGGAGTACAACCACAGAACGACTAAGTTATGCAAATATCTCTGGAGTTAAATTTACAATATTTGTAAGGTACACGGTAAAAAATTCCGGATCAAATTAAGGTAAAAAGTATCGGCACTTTAAGTCCATCATCTGTTTTTAAGTTCAAAATCCATTTTTACCTTAAAATATTATACCGAAATTTTTACAATGGTATTTATTTAATTACTGATTCAGTGATTTCACGGTAATTATTACTGTAATCATTACGGATTTTTTGTTCAGTACCATGCTACGGTAAAAATTAACTTAACGGTAAAAAGTACCGGAACCCTGATTGCCAGTACTTTCCTCCGGAATTTTTAAAAGTGTATAGATGAATCTAAAGTGTGACTTTATGTAAGACGTAAACAAATTTAAATGAACTCATTAATATGGCGAATTCATATGGATTAAAGAAAGAGCATCGATCATGTCTTATCATTGAAGTCACGCCTTATCATTTATCGAAAATCAGAAAGCTCATTCAATTCAATTTTCAAATATTTCAAAAACGCATCCATGCAGAGTTTGTTAAGGCATCTAAAAGGATTAAATAAAACTGCAATAAGCCATAAAATTTAATATCAATCGCAAACCTCAATAATTATTTTAATATTTATTATTCCCGGGAGGTAAATCTATTCCATTAAAAATTTCTCACGGAATTTAAATGTTTGTTCGCTTTCAGTTATAACTCATCTTCCGTGATTAGGTAAAGAGCCATATTAAATCTGTTTACCGTAAAGCCATCTACTCAATTTCCTTAATTTAAAAGAGCTAAAATGGAAAATAAACGCACTTAAAAACCTCTTCTCCCTCTAACCCAAATCATCTTGAAAATGACTCATTTTTCACATTCACTGCAACAACGCGGCTGCAGTGTAGGTTGGTGATAAGGGCCCGCCTCTAACAATAAATATATTCATTCTGGGGGGCTCTTATAAAGCCTTGCCAAGATTAGATGCAAGGGAAAAGAGAAAGTGATCTATGTTTAAGTCTGGAAGGAAATCGTAAAGCTTTCAAAACGGGGGGAGAAGAGATGATTTGGAGTTTGAAGTTTATCATCAATTCGTGGCTAGGTAATCAATTTAAATTAATGTCCAATAATTTATTTTGAAGGTATTTTAATTATATTGACACATGCGAAGCTTCAGAGAGAGATCCATCCAACCCATTCTAATAAAGAGAATGAGAAGGAAGATGAAAAGGGTTACTGCGATTTTTTGGCTTCCGTTGGCTCCCATTTTGGCGATGTTCTGTAACGGAAAGGTAAATAATATTGCAGTTTTAAAACACATCCGATCGCATAACGAAAATTCATCATTTGTATATTGCAAGAAATATTTATCATTTGTATATTGCAATAAATAATTATTAAAAAATGCCCGCATTCGGTGCAAATAATATCGAGCGGATGTGTGTTAAATGTAAAAACAAATAAATGGCTGAATGACAATTGTTCAAATATTAAAATTTCAAAAAAAAATTAAAAAACATGAAAAAAATGTATGGCAATGAATGTAGATTTTAAACACAACTTATAAACAGCTTTACATCATTAATGATGCTAAATCATAGTTAGTCATATCTTATTAATATTAAAATCATTAGTCTGCAGTAAGATCATGATTGTTTTAAGTTCAAAAAAAAGGAACATAAAGCACAAAAAATAAAGTAAAAGAAAATGTGTTTTAAATTTTTATATTGCGTTGCACTCTACTTTTTCTCACAAAATTAGGAAACTTATTAACAAAAGTATTTAACTCAAATTGTAAAGGAACAATTCCTCCACAGTATTAAATTATATTCATGCGTAAAAGAGTGTGTGTAATTTGCAAGAATTATTTTTAAATAAAACCTGTATTTGCTAAGTACAAAAATCACACCAATAAAATAAAGAGAAATGCTTGTGGCTGTAGTTTAATAGGAAAGTTAAATGTATGGAAATGAAGCAATGAAATTCTGTTCATTAGTTTTAAAGCTATACGTGGGGAATTTTATTGGAATGCTCTTGATTATAACAGTTAAAAAATAGTTATATAAAATAGAATTGTAAAATGTTGAAAAATTAAAAATAAAAGTATTTTTAAAAAATTAATAAACATTTATTGAAGTGACATCGAACACATAAACTTATATATTAAATGTGAACTGAACGTAGATTTGCACTATTCAAAGTAAAAAATAAAAATGCGTTTTTCCGTCATATTACAAAACATGAAGTTAAAATAAATAAAAGTTCGATTTGGCACAGGGTCGATGTTATTCAGATCGATTTTTAAAAGTAAGTGATATCTTTTAAAAATAAGTTTATTATGCTTGCAGAAACAAAACACAAGTTTGATTGAAACTATGCTTTCAAACGAATATTGTTTCCATATCAAAATATTTGAAAAGAATTTCATATGTAAATTCCTTACTGTTTTGATTTTTGTCACGTTAATTAAAATACATTTATAATATTTTATAACCGTCTTTGGACAGCCATTTAGGGTTTACAATTACTATTCAACTCCGTAACCTTGTAATCTAGAACCCGATCCAGAAGACAAGGGAACTCTTGGATCAAGTATTGGGAGAAATTTGATTTCGAGGAGAACTTTTTTTGAGGGAACTAACTCGCATTTGCGATACATCGGGAGGAAAACCGCGAAAACCTCATACAATTATCCTTACGGTAAGGGGACTTTAACCCATCATCCGTCTACCACTGAGGATATTTTACGTCAGCACTGTGGTCGGTGCGAGCCGGATTCTTATCGACCAGCCATTGCTGGAATTCGAACCCGGTTCACCTCATTGGAAAGCAAATACTCTATCCCCTGAGCCACCACGGCTCAAGTTACATTTATTTTATTTTATAACCGTCGTAGAACAGCCGACCCAATTTTTGGGTTTACGACTGCTAATGTTCAACTCCGTAATCTTGTAATTTTGAACCCAATCCAGAAGACAAGGGAACTCCAGGGTCAAGTATCGGGAGAAGTTTGCCTTCGTGGAGGACTTTTTGATGGAACTAATCCGCGTCGCGTTACATGGTGAGAAAGACCACGAGAACTTCACACGGTTAGCCTGACGGCAAGGGGACTCTAACCCATGATCCGTCTATCATTGAGGATATTTCACGCCAGCAGTGTGGTCGGTGCAAGCCGGTTGCGGAATTCATATCGACCAGCCATCGCCGAGATCGAACCCCGGTTCACCTCATTGGAAGGCGAATGCTCTATCCCCTGAGCCATCGCGGCTCAAGATATATTTATTAAAAATTTATAATTTCCGAAATGAACATATTCAAAAATTTTAAATTTTGAAGAAAAAAATGTCCAATAGTGTGATCCTTATTTGTCGCCAAATAAGGCGATAAGTAACCGATAGTGTATCAAGTTCTCCAATATTCCGGCAAAGATAGCTAAGGCGTAACAACCAGTTACAAATCATGTTTGTTTACATTCACGTGCGATTGTTTGCTCAACAAACTCCAACCCAGATATAAACCGGAAACAATAAACCTAATTAATGTAGTAACTGGAACGCTCCTCTACAAATTAAACAAATTTCAGATTTGCTTGGAAATGATTTGTTGCAGGCTGCTCTTCTCCCTCCACCCCCAATAACTCCACCCATCCCCCTCATATAATCAGAAAATTGAAGTTTGCATTGTTCTAATTATCCCAAATGTAGATTATTGTTATTATAATCATCTCTTTCTACAGAAAGGGGAATTGTTCAATAATTATTTACTCAGTAATTAGTTGGATTGAATCTATATTTTCCGCATCTTTTTTAAAAGCAGAACTGATTCTTCAAATGGAAGAGAATTGCTTCCCTGCACCCATTTTGGACTTGAATGAACTTAGTTCAATTGTTTTGAGCTTTTGTATTACTAAATACTTTGAATTTTCAAAGAGAATAATTGCTTTTCTCTTTTCTTTTTTTTTTTTCGCTTTCCAGTTTTGTTTGTAGTAGTTGTTCCTTTATGTATGATTAGTACATTGCAAAGATTGCGAGATATTTTGTCATTTAATTTTGTCATAATCAGAGTTGCTCAAATCATTTGAAAATGAAAGAAAAAAATAATTACTTATTTTGAAGAAATATTGCTTATGGAACAAAATTATTAATACTTAAAGATGTAATGAGTTTTGGAATGCTTTTATTAGAACAAAAAATTCATACTGCAAAAAAGAAGAAAATCCACTTGCAGACTTTATCCATGAAAATACTGGTAAATAAAAACAGCCCTATTTACTTTTTGTTTTTATTTTAAATATCTCAACTATTTATATTTTGTGACCTTAAGAAAAATCACCTGATCAATCAAAAAATAATTTTTAAAAAAATCGATTTCTTTGAACTTTTTGATTTACATATAATTTTGATCCCCACGTCAAAAATATATTAAAAATATCAAATACTTAAATTTAGTTGTCTCAAATTTTTACGTTATACTTTTCTTTGCTAACAGGAAAGTTAAACACAATGATAATAATAAAAACGAACTATGTCAATTTATGCTTTAAATCTGTGAATCATACTATTTTCGTAAATTTTTTAAAAAAAAGTAATACAATTAGTCGATCATAAATAGTGTTTTATTTGAACTTTATAAATAGTGTTTTATTTCAACTTTTAAGTTCAAATTCAATTTGAGCTCCACAATGAAAAATGAGTCAAAATGTAAAATATATGATGTAATTAATTTTTAAATAAATTAAATTTCATCATCTTGACAAAACTCAATTTTTTTTCTTTCTGCTTCTTATAGTTTTTTACTTAACTTCATAAGCTAAGAGAGAATAAGTAATAAAACTAATTTTAACTAGAACATGAATTGAAAGATTTTTTTAAAAACTATTAAGTAGAAGGTTTATTTACTGCTATTTATTCCTAATGTATTCTGTTTTTTTATAGCATTTTACAAATTTTTAATGTAGGGCAACTTACATTGCAGATATATACAGAAATATTTTAGCTCGCAACGAAAAAAAACTAAGATTATAATTTTCATTACAAACTTTTTGGAATTCGTAGTAATGAAAAAGTATTTATCTTATGTTTTTATATTACTGAAAATAATTCATTTCATGAAACTATCTACTACTACCATTAGTGACTACCATACAATGATAGAACAAACTATCATTAGCTTTATTTGTTCTTGAAATTTTTTTCCCTTATTTTTAAAAAACTATTTTACTTTTCCATATTTACTTAATGTTTAGAAATAGTTAGAAGCGAGTATAATTTTATTGCAGCGAGTGCAATCTCGCTGCAATATTGTACTCAATATTGATATAAAACTACTGAACTATCTCAGGGAGTTCCGTAATGGTTGCCATTATTACATATTTCAGAATCCTCGTTAAAAATTAAAGTAAAAAAAATCATGAACAATAAAATAAGGTCACTAATTACTATTTAAGGGAGGAAAAAATAAAAAAGATATCGGTACCTATAACGATATCGTTCTAAGATCTAAGACAGATAAGATCTAAGATAAGATCTAAGAAAGATCTAAGATAAGATCTAAGAACTAAGATAATAAAGAACTAAGATAAGATCTGATAAGATCTAAGAAAGATCAAAACATGCTGGATTGCAGAGAAGAATTGATAAGTTGCTTTCAAATTTCACTAAAATGTTTTTTTTTTTTTTTTTTTTTTTTTTTTTTTTTTTTTTTTTTTTTTTGTAGTTTTAACCATTTAGGTAGTAATTACTGGGGTTGCGCCATTTTATTCTTCATATTAATTTGCAATTTCTTATATGTGCACTTTTCAGATTTCCTTTTGTCAAGGATTCTAAATATATATATTCATACCAGTCATTATGAAACACCTCCATTTATAGAAATATTTTGAGCAGTTTTCTTCCGATGATAGTGATAAACATAAGAAACTTAACTACGTAATATTAAAATAATCTTAGAAAAACATTTTTAATTAGAGAACTATAGTTGTACTTACGTTTTTATGATCAATATCAAGTCCATCCCACATCGAAGCGACAATTTTCGACACTTCCCCAAAACTTGCATTCGGGTTTTGACCCTTAATTGCAGCTTGAGTATCACGGAAGAAAAGTGCATAAGCAGATACCGGTCTAAAATTGAGAAGAAAAAAGAGAAATTAATTCACTTACAATCATTTGCACAATTTTTTATTTTTTTAAGTATAAATCTTAAAAAAAAATCAATAATTATTAAATATATATTTAATAAAAGTTGCAATTGAGTGATTGTAGAAGTTCATTATACCTATTTGAAAATAAATGAAATATCACCCAGTTATTTAGTTAACATTTTCAATAATATGTGACTGAATATCTGACTGAAAAGATAACTTATCATGGAAAACATGCAATAGTTCAATACTGCCTTTGACCAGTTTTTTAGAATTTTTATTCCAAAATTATGATAAAGTAACCGACAGCAGTCTGTCTATTCAATTAACCGTAAAGTCTGCGGTAAAGAGCATTTTTTACCTTTACGGTTTTAAAACCGTTTACAAATAATATAGTTATAAAACCATGAATATAAAACTAAACGTTTTTTAACCATTTATAACTAGCATGGTTTCGAAACCGTAAAAAAATTAATTTAACTGGACTTTGGAGCTAGGCTTTTCGTTAGGTAATTGTCATGGAGAGGGCAGGACACTGAAAACTCTTCGTGTATTGAAGGAAATGGAGGAACTATTGTGGTATCAACGCTGAGACTCGAACCCCCGTTCTGTCGATCATGAGATTGTCAGTTCAGCCCTCTCGACTATAATATACACCCAACGGCAGGAAACTAAGAGGCGTCATTAGGTGGGCCTAGTTGGTGCGCAAAAAATTCTGGTTGTTTAAACGTATTGGGTGAAAGTAGTTAATAAACGGTTTTTCTCACAATTGACTGTTTAAATACCATCTTATTTATGGTTATTTGACTATTTCGTGAGAATATGGTAAAATAACAATTAAATAAATTGCTATTTAACCATTTTTTCCGAGAAATGTTTAACAGTGTGCTGCTCTCCGTAACATTAAAAAAAATTGAAATATCGGACACTTAACATATTTTTACAATACGAGTGTCCGTAACATTAAAAAAAATTGTTTGCATAACGAGATTCTCCGTAAAGAGTATTGAAATTAAAAAGAAATTAATATTAAAAAATGCGAGAAAAAATAACATTTGGAAAACCATCGTAATTCAATTCGAGCTGCAATCTAAAAAATTGATGCATGTAGAATTATTAACTTCAAAAACATGCTAATAAATAAATAAAAGCATAAATATGTTAATCTGAGTGTTCAAAAGTCTTAGTGCTAATTTTAAAGATATGTAAATTAAAAAATACATTACAAAGAAACTAAAATAAAAGTTTTAAAATAGGGCTAAGGGATGTATAAACTGGAGTTGATATCCATCATCACCATAAAAAATTTCGCAGTTGTGAAGTGACACTGTTTTCTTAAATACTGGCACATAGACAAAAAGTTATATTTTTTTATTCTATGTTGAGATTATTTATTATTGTTTCTATTTTATTTAACTTTTTTATAACTATAACATGCATACAACTAATTAAACTGGTTTTTTCTAGCCATTTCTAAAAGAGCTAAATCTTTGAATATAATAACTTTAAATTAATAATACAGATTAATTCATAACTATTTATTTTCTACGCGTGAATAATTTGTCATAGTTCCATTCGTTGTCCTTCCAAAATTAGATTTATTTATTATTTGGTATTCATCTATGAAGAAGCATAAATGCCGATTAGTTTCTCTAAAATTTCCTCCCCTCCGCAAATTGTTCTAATACTTAAAAAAGATCCTCCTTGTCTTTTTCATAAGTAGAAAATTCTAAAAGCGATAAGTTTTAGCATAAGAAATTAATTAATATCTTAAATTTATAATATGGACAACATTTATTTATGGTTATCAAATATATGTTCAAATAAGAAGCTAAACAATTAAAGTGATTTTTTCCAGCTAATTCCAAAATTGAGAGTTAAAAAAAAAAATTAGGTAAATTTTTGAAAGTGATTATATTTCGTCGCAATACACCACATCATCAACTTATAAAGATAAAGATATGGTTCGTTTTACCTGTTACTATTCTGAATAAATGGTAAATTATACCAGGAGTTCGAATATGATAGATTGTAAAGCTTTAAAATTTTTACTCGAAATATACTGGAAAAGGGGTGTAGGAAGGGTTTTGCAATCAAAAATCCCTAAACAGGGGAAAGATGGTCGTTTGAAATGGAAGGGCTTTTTCCCTTTTTAAAAGAATGTGAAACGAGATAGAAATATATATAAAAATAAAGTCAAGTCACATCGCAAAAATCCAATATTCAAAAGTGAAGCAAGGGCGGTAAATCACTCGGCTTTTATGAAAGCTCGCCAAGTAATGTCATTTTATAGCAGCCATTAAAACCGACAAGACTTGTTCGTACTGGGCCAATAGTGTGGGGTGGGTCTGGAGTAGTTTTCCCCCGTATGTTTATGGGGACCGGGGGTACCTTCGAGGCGGCCCATGTTTATGGTCTTTGCAGGGCCGTAAAGACAAATGTAATCTTTGTAATGGCCAGAGTTTCCTCGTTCTGGTACGACATCTGTTCTGTTGCGCAGCAAGTCGCTCGGATGATATTTCCAAAATTTAATCGCCACTTTTGGCGATTTCCTATTTGTCTTCATCGACATTTTTATTAAGCTTTTGGATACATTACATCATGTAGTTATGGATATTACACTGTTACGTAATTTTAAATGATGAAAGTAGAAGTTGCTAATTGCCATAGAAAAGAAATTTACTTCGAAATCTTAAATTCATAATTAGATTTACGTAAAGTGAATAGTTTTTGTTTTCAATATTTGTTTTATTTTTACAGAAACTGTGCAACTTATTACGTTATGAATTAATGCTGAATTATTATTATTTAATATTTTTAGGATAATGGTTTTAATACTCTTTTAGACATTACATATTTTTGTAGGGGTAGTAAAATGTGGTGTAATAAGAAAAAGAAAAATCTGATAAATATCCGACACTATCTGGAGTAGGAATTTGGAGAAAATTATAATGGTCTGTAGTTTAGAAGTAAATAAAATGCAGTTCTACTTTTTTGTAGCTGACCAATACTTTACATGAATTTATGATATTGATATTTTATTGATTGGTATTTTTTTAGTCTTTTAATTATGATATTTTTAATTACTTTATTTATTTTTAATAGCTATAATTACTTTTTATCTATTTATGTTCTGATACATTAATTTTAATTGCTTAATTTCTTGACTCTCAAAATTGATATTTTATTTCATGCATCTTTCAGTTGTTTTATTTTTCTCTAGGGTTCCTTAATTTATAATTGATTAGTTTGCTTTATTTTAAAGAATAAATCTTTTATTATAAGTTTAGATCATTTATAAAGTCATTATACAACATTATTTTGAAGAAAAAAAAACTGATTATTTTGACGGTTTTCTTGCAGTTTTCAGATAAAACAGAAAACTTATTCTAAATACGTTATTGTATTCATTTAAAAAAGAAAATCAATATATCTATTTGAAAAAGAAAGCAGTTTTTATCATCAATAGATTTGAAAGAGTTGCAATGGAAAATAGAGAAACTAAAGCACCAAGTTGTTAACATTTTAGTTAACGAAAATTTTAACTATCAAATAAATTATAGGAGAGCAGTTAATCTAATTAAAACAAATAATTTACAAACTAATGGTACAATTAATGTAGACAGAAAAGTAATTGGTATTTTTGAGAAGAAGAAAAAATCCAATTTCAAACTATAAAAATATCTTGCATTTATCGATTACGACGAAGTTTCCACGTTAAGTACGACGGGAAAAACAACATACGGTTATGTACTTTATCAAGTGAGCCAATTTTGGCGGTGAATCGTATATTGGGTGGAAAATAAAAGTGACAACCCTACTTCTCTTTCCACTTACGTTTCAAGTTGAGCAGCAATTAAGGAAAATAATCAGTTTCTCTTGATGCTGTTGTCTACAGTTTTTATATCCTTTCTTTTCTAAATTTCTCCCTCGTTTTTCCCTTTTTTTGTGTGTGTCTTTTGGTGAACTTTCATTGGTTAAATTGCTTTCGTTATTTTTGTAGTAAATTTTCTTTCAGATACAGACAGAGTTAGACTTACATTTATTTTTCTATTTACTTATTTACTATTTTTCACTTAAGATAATTTAATATACTTGGTATAGATATCTTGCATTGGGTAAAACTCGTAGACTTGTGATGATAATGTTATAGAAACTTTTCTGACAAAAATAAACTTTATCTAAATTTTGTGATTTTTTTTTTTATTATTATTACAAAAGCTGTGCTCTCAGTAATGAAAACATTAAAAAATATATAGATTTGCGTATAACCAAATGTCTCATTAATTTTAAAAATCATATTTTTACATTAAACATTACTAGTAATATTATAAATATTTGTACTAATATCATTCAAAATTTTTGCTTAGGAAAAATCAATATTGCTGCTATATTTTTATTTTAAGAAAGAATTATTTTTCTTATTTTTAATTTTAAAAAAATATATAAGTCGCGAAAAATTATGAATTATTATTAATTCAAAACGGAAAAATAAATAAATAAATAAATAGCGCGCGGAAAAATGCATAGATTTATTAACATTATGCAGAAACTAACTAAAATTCATTTTATTTCAAACAACATCCATAGATTTAAATTTGTAATTTTAATTTAGTAATTGCAGAAAAGTTTAAAGCATAAAGATTTTCTTGGTGCAATTCATGACGTTACAATAATACAGTTTTTTTAAACTTTATTACCAACATATGCACCAAATAAAAGGAGATATTTATTACTGCAAATAATAACAATTGAGCAATATAGGTGAAATATATAACTTTTTTTTCTCATTGTAGTCAAACAATGTCTTTGATAAATTATAAACATTATAACATGAACCTGAAGCAATAATTTCATTTATTTACTTCTTGATTTTTCATTTATTTATTTTTTGAATTTTACGAAAAGCAAGTCGTTTATAATAAGTTAATATCAGTAGATAGTTATAATATCTTTATCGCAGTTTTTAATATCTTATCAATCAGTAGTTTCTAATGTACAAAAATATTTTTATTTTAGTTATAAAATAAAAACCATAATTTTCCCAGAAATTTTTTTATTCCTTTCGCAATTTACACAACGTTTAATTTCTTATAACATACTACTATTAACTGCCAATTAAAAAGAGTTATCACTAGCTTTTTTAAAGTATCATAATTTTAAAAACAATAAATATTTATGAAATGTTTATTACAAAAAAAGAATAATACAGTTCATGTAAAGATAAAGATAATAATAAAATTGAAAGCGAATAATCAAGTAGAGATAATAATATAGTCAAAACAAAAGTCATAATAATAAGAAAATGATAATGTCATGAAAAATAATAAAGTTCATGTAAATAAAAGAGGAAAAAAAACTAGAGTATGTAATGATTTTAGTCCTGATAAAAAAAAAACTATCAACATCAAGTTTAATGGAGTTAATTTCATAAATAGCTATATACTGTAAAATATTCCGGGTCAAATTACGGTATAAATGCCGGTACTTTGGGTGCATCATCCGTAAAATCCACTTAACCGTAAAAACTATTTAACCGTAAATTAATAAAATATTTTACAGTAATATTTATTTAGAGTGATTCAGTGGTTTCATGCCAATTATTATTGTAAAGATTACGGTAAATCAGATATTTCTCTGCGAAACGTGTTCCAATAAAAATGGATTTTACGGTAAAATGTATCGACACCCTGAGTGCCGTAACTTGATCCGGAATTTTTTACAGTTTAGATTACATGTTTGAATCTTAATTTTGGTATTTTAATCTCCAATATTGAAATCATTTTTTAGTTAATAACTTTTTAATCCATCGTGAATTTATTTCAAGAAATGTAAACTAAAAAAAGAAAAACAAAAAGGAATGGACAAACATTTTTTTTTCGGTAATGATTTTAACTCATAATATGTAATCAAATAATGAGATTACAAATAAAACAGAGGGGAAAATAAAACCGTAACACAAAATTGAAGCTAAGAGGTATTTCCAAATCCCCTACTCCACAAAATCCTTTCATGATCAAACCACACTAACAAGATACATACTATCATTTTTTTTTTTTAACCAAAGACAAGCCCTCCTTAAAATACATTTTCTTCCTCATGATTCTCTCGAAAACTATAAGACAAAAAGTGTTCATATCCCCCTTCTAGCATTCCTCACGATCTTATAGGACATATGTCTCATAAATGTGACAACCCCAATAGTTCATGGCACTATTTGAACCATTATACCTATATATACTTTTGAACTTTTTTTTATTTTTACTTCATACCTAACATTCCATACAGTATCTCATTTTATTCTTAGAGCCATATCTCACGAATAAACGATATAAAGATATATAAGGAATTACATATATATATATATATATATANATATTTATATATATATATATATATATATATTAAAAAAAGTACATTAGGCATGAAAAAGAGAGATAAGAATGGAAGGGGGGTGTAGGAAATTTTTATTTTGAAGAATGAAGGCTGTCAGTGCAAACTGGAATGGGAAAAAAAGATAGTAAAAAAAAGGGGGATGCTGGTAGTAGAGGTAAAAGCGTGTTTGTTGTATGTAATCTATGATCTATTGCTTGGACTATGGTGATGGCTCATTTTTCATAAGGTTTCTTTTTATTTTTTTTATCGTTTTCTTATTTCATTTATCGTTAGATATGAAATGTATATATCTATATTTGAGTTTCCTTTTTGGATACGTTCGTGAAAAAGTAGAAATAAAAAAGTTTTTGCTTTCCTTTTCTTACGGTCGAAATTTGATGTATGAAGCAGAGCTGAATGGGATGAAGAAAAAAAAGTGTATATTTGATTGTTTCGTTAATGCTGTGAGCATTTCAATTGGAATTCATTTACATAAATTGTTTTATTGAAATAGAAATTTATCTCTGTGTTATTTAGAGAAGATTACTTCATTCTTTTGTAAACTGGTTGATATCGAAAAATTGTAGGAGTGTTTCATACTAATGACGTAATTAAATGAGCCTTATGCATTTATATAATAAATATCTATAATTGCATTTTAAATCGACAAAATTTACTGTCGGAATTTCGCCTGCTGCTTGTCGCAATTTTTAAATTTTATTTGAATGGAGTGGATTTCAGATTCTAAATTGTATATGTAAGAAGAAGAAAAATTCTTGTATCTCTTCTATCTTTAGTTTTTAACAATATAGATATATTTCTATAGGTATAAACACTTTTAGAAATAAAAATTATAAAATATGTAAAATAAGATTATGGAAACAAAAAAACTAAAGGGCAAAACGTTCTAACATGTTGTCCATCAACGTAGACAATATAGATAAGTAGATTGCCTACTTCCAAAAAGTTTAAATGGAAAACAACGCTAAAATTACAATAAGTATCTCATTTAAATCGCAATATAAACTAGAGTAAAACAAAAAGACGCAACTATTTTTACAAAAAAAATTAGTTAAAGAAAAATTGCTAATACTAATGATTTCACACATGTCTAAAAATACTAAGCATTTTCACATTATATCCATAATGCATGATAAAAAGGCATGATTTTACACTTTAATAGAAGGATATAATTGATATTGCCTATATTTTTATGCTCCAAAAATTATCAGCAGTAATTGTTAAGACAAATTAAATTAACTGCATCATTATGATCACAATATCAGTTCTAAAGACCAGTCGTTTTCATTATATACCAATCATTTTCATACATAATATCGAAAATATTAAGCATTGCGAAAAATAAATAAATTAATTAATTAAATAAAACAAAACTAAGCAAAAGACTGAATTCTATGATGACACCTACTTTTGGGGTTCGTTGGGGTCCCTCTTCTTCTTTTTCTTCTGTACTTTGGGTTTCTTGATGGGTTTCCCTACACTTGGGGGCCTTTCAACTGGTTCTGGTGAAGGCCGTTTCATTCCACACATCAACTGTTCGAATAAAAAATGGAAAGAAATTCTTTAATCATCAAAACATACACAGTTCAATAATTTTAAACCACTATTTCTTAAATTGCTTCTTTTTTACAAGATTAAAAATAGTACAATATGTTTATTAGAAGAATTAGACATTCATGCAAATAATTATCAGGGTGCGTAGTCAGATTTTTCAACAAAAAATAAGCACCTTTTAAGTACTTTTTAAGCACTCAAACATATTTTTAATCACTTTCTAAAAAAATCATAATTAGGATCTGTACAGCAATAAAAATTATTTTTGTCTATCGTTTAAAGTTTTTAATTTATAAAGATAGAATCAAAAAAATTAAAAAACATTTTCAATAATTTCACATAATCATGATAAAATAACTAGTTTCTGATAAATATTGCAGAGAAAATAGAAAATAGTTTTTTTCTTTTTCGTAAATTAGAACGACAATCGACGCGGCAAAGAAAACTTTCATTTTAAAAGATAGAAAATTAAGCACTTTTTACAAACCCCGAATAAAAAAAAGCACCTTTAAGGGCTTTTTAAAAACATAAATCAAAAATAAGCACCTTTAAGCACTTTTTAAAAACGCTACGCACCCTGATTATGTTTTAAATATATATATTTTTCAGACTAAAATTGTCAAATTAATCATTACTTTTTTTTTTTACACCATAAAAAAGAGATTTTTTTTTTAAAATTAATTTTCAGGCAAAAATATGTTTTGAAAATTTATACAAGGATATGCATTGTTACTTTTACACAAAAAGAATTTAAAGCAATATAATTCTAAATAAAATTGGTGTACACTTTCAGTTTAGAATAAACCATATTATTCCCGTTTCAATTATAAAATCTAACATGAACAAATCGAATTTAATTTCTAACAATCAGAAAATTTCTATTTGAAACACAATCTAACTTAAAAGTATAAATAAATTTAAAAAAAATAAAAACATCTTAATTTTTGAGCATGCCTTGTTATAAAAAGAACAACAAATAAAAGATATGAATTAAAATTTCTTGAATAACAAAGCATAACAAAACCAATTTTATTTTCTCCACTTTTGAAATATACTTTTCGAATATAATTTTATCCTTTCGTTCAGAAAAAGTTTCTATTAATAACAATGGAAATACAATATTTTAATTTTAGAAATCTCGGAAAGGACTTGGCAGATTACTATTTACCCTATAGGTCAAATTATCTGATGACAAACTTCATAAAATGTTATTTTTTTTACTAATTTAGTAAGTGGTCAGTAAAATATTTTCCTTTCAATTATTCAAACACTACTGGAATAAGTGAAAATATTTAAAGTTTTTAAAAGTTGAATTAAATGATAAAAACAGTTTCAGTTTAATGTAATTATAAAAATGTATTCAAGTTTCATAAATAAGAAAAATAATGAAATAAATACTAAAAATAAAAATCAATCTCAGTTGAAAACAACAATAATTCTCCCTAAATAAGTTAACTTCTATAAAAGAAAATTGAATACTTTTAAGAAAAAGGACTAAGTTTTAAGTTGCTCGTTTAAATCATAGATGGCAGCACAACAATGTAGAATGATAAATCCTTTTCTTCGCGGATAACTGATGCAGCTGAGGATCTTATTAAGAGTTGATGTTCTCAATCAAATAGATACTATTACAAAAAGATTAGATACAGTGTTTCAGGTGGAACAAATTCAACACGGAAAAAAAAGCGAAAGAGACCAAAGAAGAAAAAAAAAAATTCCTCTGTCTAAAATCTGAATTTTTAACTTATTTTAAAATTTAGTTGACTAACTTCTCAACCTCTGAAAAACTAGGTATTCTTATTATATTTCTGACAAACGGATTAAAGTAATTTTGAATGATTTTCTAATTCTTAAGTTAAGGTATTCTTTAGTTAGAAAAATTTCCATTTATTTAAATTTTTAAATGACTCTACTGATATTTGAAAGTTTTAGTTTCTTAAAAAAATAAACGTTATATATATTGCAGATTTGTTGAAAAAATAACTATTTGAAATCCACTGCAAGATTATAAGAAAAAAAATTTAATATTTCTAAGACAATAACACTTTGCAAAACAAATTTTAGAGCTAACAGAGTATTTTAAGTCATTTATCGAATTAACTAACATTAAGTAATTATCACATTTGGAAAAACATATCGAGATACAAAAACTATTAGTAAAAAAAAAAACTACAATAAAGCAATTTGAATGAAAAATCAAAGTTAATTAAATGTAAATGAGAACTTTTCTTTCTCAGGTAAATAAAAAGTAATCGCCATATAAAATGTTTTATGACTAAACTCTTTTTTACGACCATGCAATCACATTAACGTCATGGTAAATACATTTCTTGATCACCATCATTATGTTTTTATTGATTTGTTATACTAATTTCTTCTGAAAAATCTAGATCAAAAAAACGACAGCTGATATTTCATAACTATTTCTCACACTCAGTTTTCGAAATAAAATCCTTCAGTTTTAATTTCGTACACTAAAACGTTTTTATTGAGAACTAATTGCTAAATAAACACCACAAACAATTCCCTTAGTTGAAAATTATCTGCTCATAAAAAGGAATTTTTTTTATACGAAAACAAAAGAGAACTAAATAATTATTTCATTGTTATTGAGAAAAATAATTATGTCATAAAATACAACACTTATAGACCAAGGCCACAATTTATTGCGAAAAGTTTTTAACTTCTTTTCAATTCTTAGGTAAGGTCTTAAGCTGGCTCAATTTCAGAACTATTTCGGGGAAGAAAATAGATTTTGGTGAAATCCGTTTGTATTTCGCAGCTATCGATCATATCAGTGAGTTGAAGCCGGCATCTGTTGCAGAGCCGATAACGATTTTAAGCGTTTTGTTTGATATGATGTATCAAATCGATTTTAAAATTGCGTTTCGGAAATTATCGTAATTCTGTTACGATGTATCCTTAGCTGGAGATAAAAAGATTTTTATGCATTTGGATATTGTAATTAAAATATGAAGTAAATTTCACTTGACACAGATTGAAGATAAATACTTTATGTTTTTATATTTATGGATGTAAAATTATATTTTTCTTATTTTAAAATAAAAATAGATTTTAAAAATTAATTGCAGCGTTTGCTCTTTAATTTTTTTGTGAGGGAAAAAAATGCATATTACCGGTATTAAGAAAAAGAATTCTGTACGAATATATTTAGGAAATAGAAAAATTATTTTATAAGTTTTGAGTTCAGCTCAGTATCAATATTTGTAGTATGTTTGCCTTTTCACCTAAGATGGATTCTCCATCTTGAATTTATTTACAGGGAAAGAATCACAAGCTTAAACATTGTTAGGTATTGCTTTGATGTAATTTTCACTCTAAATCCGTTGGAATAAAACTCAGATTCTAGATTAAATGAGACCAAAACCAAATTGTATGACATTCCTACTTTTGTGCAGGATAGAAAATAGTGGTGAAATCGAACAGCTTGGAACAATAATCAAGCAATTATCGTTTAATTTTATTTTATTTTTTTGAACAGCTTACATAGTTTTGAACTTACAACTATCGATGTTCAATTCCGTAGCCATCTGATTTTTAATCAAACTCATCGTGCATTGTTCAAACCTATGATGCTTTTGGTGGAACTAACTCTACATAGCGAAGAAGATCACGAAAATCTCCCTTGGTAAGCCTCGTGGTAAGAAATTTAGCTAACCCATGATCCGTTTACCCCCCCAGGATATTTTACGTCAGTATTGTAATGGGTTCGATTCGGGAACAGAATTTTATCAGCAAAACATCACAGGAATTCAAACCTGGATTTAGTTTCGAGCGCCCGTATCCCGTGAGTCACCCCTTCTCCAAAAGCTACTTGTTGTAAAATCGGTGTTGAGCAACAGACCCGATTCTGAGTTTACGACTATCAATTTTCAACTCCGTAGCCTTTTGAGCCTAACCCAGAAGATAAGAGAACTCCTGGATCAAGCATTGAAACAAACTAGTCTTCGTGGAGAACTTTTTGATGGAACTAACCCGAATTTGCGTTAAACGGCTAGAAAGACGGCAAAGTGATTCTAACCCATAATTCGTCTACCACTGAGGATGTTTTACATCAGCACTGTAGTCGGTGCGAACCGGGAGCAGAATTCCTATCAACTAGCCAATTATTGGAATTCGAACTTGGGTCACCTCATTGGGAGGCGAATGCTCTATTCCTTGAGCAATCCAATACCTTCGAGAAGTAAGAAAATCCTCGCACGGGTTACATTAACGAGAAATCCAATCCCTTAGTAGTTCGAAAGTTGTGACATCTTTATTATTTTTCACTCACTGCGCAGTTTATGCTTGTTAAGCCTGACTACAAAATTCTTCCGTGCAGAGGCCTTCTCTCCTCTACAAGGTGGCTCCCAACAACACCCATTGTAAATATTATGTCTATTTTAAAGAAGCAATTTAGGCTCTGTTTATGATTTTTTTTTAAACTTTCATTCCTAATTTTGATTGATTCAAGCATAATAACTACTTACTTGAGACAAATGTCCGCTATCATCGCTATCCTCACTAGTTTCAAGACCGGGAGATGTGTGATTAGAGCCGGGTGGTGATGATCCCACTGACCCGGGCCTCTGATGTCTAGGTCCTCCAAGCTGCAGAGCCAGCATAGGTGAAGGCGGTAGAAGTTGCTGGTGATGATGCTGTGGGTGCACAGATGGATGGTGTGGGTGAATGCCCATGTTGTGGTGTTGAGGAACTTGGTGGAGATGTTGCTGTTGTTGGTGTTGCGCGTGCTCCATGTGGAGATGTGACTGTGGCATTGGCCCATTAGGGTAACTTGTAGGAATTGCATATTGTTGGACACTGCGAAAAAATATTTCCTTGTTTTATTATGCGAGTATTAAAGTAAGAAAAGTTATAATTTTATGATATTATAATTGCAATATATATTCTCATATCGAGTAGTTATAATGGTTATATCGAGATTATTTACACATTTAAAACAGGATTAAAAGCATCCCTTTCTTATTTTGATTGCCAGATGAAACTGAAAACTATTTTTAATAATAATCGCCTTTTAAAAGAAATTTTTTTTCAGTTTCACCCGAAAATCAAACTTATTCTATGCTTGGCTGCGTTTTTCAAGGCTCTGTCGCTAAGGAAAATAAAAAAAGCCACAGTTTAAATGCCTTACACTCGAAGAGCAAAGCGATAATTTTAAGCTATATATATTATGTTGCCGTGAAGAATTATCTGGGCTTTAAAACTGACAAATAAATTAAATATTTTAAAAGTTATTAAACTTTTTAATAAATCGCCAATTTGGCGATATTTTTCCACAAGTGAAAATTATCAAAATCGCTGCCTTATTCTCAGTTTCAGTAAATTTTTATGAGCCCAGATAATGCAGCACTGGCGTAAGTTTTTAAATATTAAAATATTAGACGACACACGCTTTTAATTTTCACAAAACTGTGACTTTTCTTCATACTGACGTTTCGAGCCATTTTCAAAATAAGCATAGACAGTGTAGGCTTTAGACGGTCTAAACTTGACCTAATAGTTATGAGTAACTGTTGCAAACTCACATCAGTTATGAAAATAGTATATTATTCGTGAAAAAGCATTTCACATGTCAAGGAAGCCTTTGAAAAACAGACTTAACCTTTTGAAAATGATTCTGGGCACTTATAGACTACTTACTGAAATTGCACAGATTGTTGTGGAATCATGTTGCCAGGAGCTATCTGCAACATATACATATCACCGGGATGAGGATTGCCATAATGCTGTTGTTGTTGCTGTTGCTGCTGCTGTTGCTGAAGCATGTGGGGCGAATGATGGTGTTGGTGCTGATGATGTGGAGAACCAGAAAAAGAAGTCATCATTGTCGGTGGTGAAGGTGCCGTCGTGACAGTTGTCATAATTGCACCTATCCTTTCCATTCCACTTCCAGATTGACTACAAGGGCTAGGAGACATTTGGGGAGGAGGAGACATAATGTGCTGTTGCTGGTTGTTGTTAGGAGACTGTTGGGGTTGTGTCGATTGTTCTTGATGGCTCAGCGGCTGTTAAGGAATAAAAATAAATTATGACTAATTTGTGAAGAAATATAATGTTACAACGCTAATTGTTATGTTTTAATGCAATTATTTTCAGATCTCTAAAAGGATGCCAGCATTTTAAGACTTAGCGGTATTTAATTATAATTAATGACGATTAAAGTTATTGAGAGATGCATGGAAAACTTAGTAAAAACCCTGTAAAAAGATATGATAAGACAAAATGACTACTTGAAAGTTTAAAAGCATCATGACATCTTTTCAGCACCTTTTATTAATAATTTTTTTCGGATAATTATGACGTAAAATACGAAAATGTTTTTTAGTCTCAGGCGTTGTTTCTTTATTTAACCCCAAACATTTATATTGGAAGATAATTCAGACTGAAACAAGATTTTCAGATGAATCGAAAGAAATAAGGCAGTATTTTTTATTTATTTATTTTTAGATTTCATGATTATTTTTACCACATTAAATTGATTTTCAATTAATCCAAAATTCACTAACATTTCAAGTATTAAACCTTTTTTTTCAAGTATAACCCTGATACTGATCGAATTAATCGAACTTAGATTAGATTTAAATAAGAGTTTAGATTCAAGTAAAATGTTTACTCAAAACAACTTAAAATACCTTGACTCAACTTGAATTGAGTTTTAACTTTAAAATAAACCTAACATTGCATTAATGCAATTCTCAGTTACTTAATAAATAATTTAATAAGATTTTACATCGCTTTGAACTATTATCTATATACTAATATACTATATGTAGCAACACTACTGCTAATTAAAATCAAATTATTGTACTATTAATATTGAATTTTTAATGTGTAAGCTAAAAACTTACTATAAAATCGTCGATATATAATGCGATAGATAATATTAAATTTTGTTTCTTTTCTAAAGATAGCATTATAAGAAAATTAAACGATGCAAACACACAAATTAGCAATAGTGTTAAATCTTTAAATAAAATATCCTATGAAGTGTCGTGCAAGTGTTTCAGATTAATGTATGCTTGAAAAAGCGTTCGAATTAAAGGAATAAAATGTACCTGTGTAGAGCCATATACATCACTAGAATTAGTATCACTGCTTGGTGTTGTAGGGGGTAGATTAATTGGTGGAATGTCAAATTCTTCGTCACCAAAACTTGGCGTATGGAATGTCTACAAAAAACAAATTTAGAGTTTAGGTTAGCGAGAAGTTTATAACAGTAAACTTAGATTAACAATATTTTTGAATAAAATTTCATTTCAGAATAAAAACAAGTGATGTCGATTTATATGGAATCCGGATAAATTACCGCTAATAGTTCACCATTGGGCATCTCAATATTGGAGGTATTAATTTTCAAAATTACTTAAAATTAATTATATTATTAGTTAAACTACTACAGTCAACTCCAAAAGAGAAGCACTGCGATTAGCTTTTGATCTAATATTTCTATTTCTGGAACAAAATTGCGGCATCTTGGTCAGGAAGGTACTCTAAAGAAATGTAAATTAATAAAAAAACATACTTTCCATGAGTATACTATTTTTTACGTGTTCATATTCTTAACCCTCAAAGCAAATAGGAAACACAATCTAAAACATTTTTGCCATATATTTGGAATAAGTTGCGCCAATTTAAAAAAAAAAAAATTCTGCAGAATGCAATAAGTATTAATTCTTACTTTTTAAACTTTTATTTGCAATTTTCTCGAATCATTTTTCTTTCCTTCTTTTTTGCTTTACTAATCAACTTTATATTCAAACAAATTAATTTTGAAAAAAGATATTGAATTGTTTCTGATAGTAATAAAATTAATAAAAAAGCTTATTTTAAATAAAAATAACACTTTATTATGTAAATAAAATTTTAATGTAATTTTTTCGAGCCGTTCAACTAGTACAAACCGGTAACCATGGTGTCCAACCAGAATGCATGTACTTTCTCCCATTGTGTCAAAACTTTTCGGGGTCTAATTTACTTCGTTTACACCAAGTGCAATTTATGACGATAAATTATAGCGATAATGCTAAACAGTATTTCACCTAATTGTCGTCTACTACGAAGGCAAATAAACTTTCCAGTCAAGCCGAGCAATGATATCATCGTGTATGTTTCTAGTGAGCGAAATTAACTTTTAGTTACAAGAAAGAAAATTTTTGGAACCTTTTCTTGTCTTAATGCTACTTAATCAAATTGTTCTCAATCTTTACAAAAACAAACTCTTATAAATACAACTATTTAAAAGGCATAATTATTAATAAAAGAACGATGACAATAAGTTTGATCAAAAAATTTTTAATAAATAAAAATAACAAAATAAACAATTTTTAAAAAATTTATAAAATAAAAGAGTTAAGTATTGATGTGATATCTAAGTGTAAATGGTTATGTAGCAAATTTTTAGCATAAAAATCTAGAAAAGTATATATTTACAACCTTAAAATTTTTGATTAATTTACTTCTGTTAAATGGTAAAACCAGAGGTGGTTTAGTCCCAGGTATAAAGTGAAGATCAGGTGGCCATAAATGACCATCACCCAGTGAAGTCGGTATTATTTTATTCTGATTTCTAACGTGTTTGTGGTTGTATGACGTGGGCGACGATACATCACCGCCGTGGCTTAGTCACAGGTGCCCACTGTGTAATGATAAGAGAGTAGCAATTCTGGCACTTCTGAGGATAATGGGAAAAAGTTAAAAAAATTGTTTATAAATATAAATGCCGTGATTCAACACTGTAAAAAATGAAATGTTCGCGACTACAAACTGATAGTTTAAGCTGAACAAAGTGTTTTGCATTGCACGATGGCAGCCAAAATGCTAAACAATACATATCCTAAGCTAAATACAAACTGAATTCAACCTAATATATATTTTTTACATCATAACTTCATCACATAGTTTTTTTTGGGGCATTATATCCAGAAATAATGAAATTGACATTGATATTGCAGACAACAATTAATAGTAAGAAAGTAATTTAAACCCAATTTATAGTATAATACTAAAACGCCCAAAATTGATAATAATTTAGTGATATATTAAAACCCGTTTGCAAATTTAAATTGAGTAAGAATAATACAATATACAACAACCAAAACTTTTAATACATAATTGAGTAATATTGCATCATTAACTCATAAAATTCAAAATAAAATACTCAAAATTCGTGACTAGCAGTTGTTAATTATTCCAAATAACCGGTATGTTTCACATTCATTAAGCGTTTAAGTGTTACTTTTTTTAAAAAAGAACAATAAATCTTACGTATAAAATAGCCCTTTAATGAATAATAATAGAATCAATAAGTTAAATTTTAAATAATAGATCGTTTTTAACCAGGAAAAAACGTAAGAAACAATGATATGTCCTTGTTGGAGTATCGTAAAACTTCTTGAAGGTTCAAGACAAGCAACGAGGCCAAACGAAGGTCAGGAGCAATTAATATCGTTTACAAGAAGTGTGTATTTATGATCACGCCATCTATCTACACACGAGAGAAAAAACAATTTCCAAGAATAAACCGATATCTTTGTATCAGATTTGTAGCCTGAAACGAAAGAACAAAGTATTCTTTTCCAGAAAATAAACAGATCGCGTTGTTAAATCAAAAAAACCTTTTTTATGATAGTTCCTCCAAGAAAATAGCAGTTCCTCCATGTTTGATCTTGTTGCAATAACGTTGAAACATTGTTTAAGTCTATTTGGTACAATAACTGAGTTTAATTATCTTTTTTCTCTAGCTCCCCTAGGATAGTGCTTATGAAACTATCTATTGTATTATTTTATGAGTAATTCGCGTGATTCGGCTCAATTTTAAGTTTAGTTAGACTAAGGGTGGAGTTGTGAAACCTATCAATATAGACCGAGGCCATTTATGTTTGTTATTACATAATTTAAATTATAACTTATAAAAAAAGGAAACCTGTAATCTTTTGATATATATCACCACATTAAAAAAAAATTTATTTTTTACTCTTCTTGGCTTTTTTAATTATATAAACTTTTTATGAAAAATGTGAAGCAATCGGTTAAAAATTACACGACAAATAAAAATAGTTATTCTAAGTAAAACACAGTAATTTTAAATAGATATTCTTTCGGAATTTTAAATCGATTCCGAGATGTGAATTCCGTTCGAAGAATTACAATGACTATCATAATACAAGCAGTTTGCGGATACATTGATAAATATTTGATTTCTGAAGAAAAAAACTTTCAATAACTTTTTCATTGGGAGATAACTTTTATAATTGAGAGAAAAGTATTTTAGATTCACATAATACATTTTAAAAAGTTAGTAAAGATAATAAGAATAATAATTAATGTTTAGAATTTTCGATATATTTCTGACTAATCTCTTAGTACCGTGGAATTAAGAGATTAATCAGCATGCTATTAAAGATGCAACTACATCATTAAAGATGAAACTAGATTTATTCGAAGGATTTAAATTCATAAAGTCATTATGATTTTAGAGAAAGTGCGTTTCTGTAACTAAATTTGTAACATAATTGATATTTAGACAAATTATCGATTATATATGTTAGATAGGCATCACGAATCTGTAAGGGAAATGAATGTGAACTACAATTAAATTTATGATAATGCACCGTCACATAACTAGGGAACAGGAAAATTGTAAAAAACTTTAAATGATATAATTAATTATTGTAAATTGTAAAAAAAAAATTAAAAAAACGGAAAATTTATGTCAGCAAAGTTGCCAGAGATAATCCTTATGCTAAGGAAGAAAAAAAAATATGTTGACGGAAATTGTCTGTAGCAAAACACTACGGAAAATATTTGTACACAATCGGATATTTTCCGTAGATCAGGCTTCAGTAGAGAAACTCGCCTAGATGGAAGCTGCATATCCTCTGGTTTGCATAGCGAAACAGATTTCGAAAATATTGATTAGTTTCTTAATTATTTCATTTTCTGCTCGGTTTTCAAGGTATCGAAAACCATCTTGTTTGAGCGAATCGTCGTAGAATTTTTATTACTTTTTATCGCTAAATCGGGATTCGAACACAAGACCTTCCAGGCTAACTCCTTCACCAACATTTAAGCTGTTTGGCATCTGTTTCAACGGATCAAATTATTTGTAGCCGCTTTGATCTCCAATGTTTTTCATGTTCAAAACTGGAAAAAAAATCTGTACCCAACAGATACAATCTGTATCAATTGTTACAGATTTCATTTTTTAACATAAAAAATGTAGATTGCGATGTAGTTTAATTTGTTGCAGTTGCATTTGAGCCAGCGACACATTGTCCAAATAAAGATCTTCCAACAACTAACAACGTGTTGATATTGGTACAAAAGAAATTTTAATTTTGAAAATAAATAAATAAACACAATTACCCTAATGTAATATAATGGGTCTAATTTTTATACGTGATAAAAATCAAGTAAATATTACTAAAACTTCAAACGAAGAAGATTCCCAGTATGTATGGGAAATAGATGGTATCGCCAAACAAATACACGAAGTACGCTGTTTTCCTCTGCCGTAATAGTTTTATTATTTATTGCAGTAATAAACAATCGTTCATCAATGGGTAAAATTGAAGAACAATGCTCTGCTAATTTAAGCAAATATGGAAGCGATTTAAAATACTTTATATAGTAGATTAAAAACGATAGGAGAAATACATCCAACAATTTATTGAATTGAGAAGCAAGCAGGGTAAAAACGTAGATCGTGACTGGCATAATACTGTAAGCGTGATCAAGACAATGTATTTATCTTCACTTTTCTACTGGTAAAAAAAAAGTAGTTTTCTTAGTTTCGGGCATCGTATATCAAAAGAAGGAATATTAAAGTAAGATCATTATCTGGCAAATAGATTATTAGATTGGCGATAATTTTGGCAAATGCCAGGTATATAAGTTGTTACAGATTTTTGTGAAAACAATCGACAGAGTATTGTGGGATAAATTTTGAGAATTCTTTAGTCCTCTTTTAATGTTTGGAGGTTCTGTATTCAAACGAAATAACGCATTTTTGTAATTAGGATCATTTGTAATTAGGAACTGTTAGGATCTGTTACACTGTTAGAATTTTCATTCCAAAACTACTATAAAATAACCGGCATCAGTATATCTATCTAATTAACAGTAAAATTCAGGATAAAGAGAACATTTTTTACCTTTACAGTTTTGGAAC